TCTTTACCTCTCCACCTCAGGACCCCCCTCCCACGGCCCATCCTGGCTCCTCCCGCTCTCCCTTAAAACCAGCATTTAAGGTCGTATCTCTTGGAGCTCTCTTCGCCTGTTACAGTAATTTTTGCAGTGACGGTTCCACCTGAAGATGGAGGCTTGTGTTGCCTCCGAAACGTCGTGATTTAATTTATTTGTTTTCCTTTTTTAACCTACGTGACTTTACCTAAAAAACCAAAGAGTAATAAATGATTTATCCACTTGGGAAAGTCTCACTGACTATTGTGCGTTCATGCGGTGACGGTGCTCGTGTGCGACGACGGGGCTCATTTCTCATTATACTCGTTTACATTAACATGCCAATCTCTCCCTTTAACGCAGCTGTTGTGCGTGCGTGCGGCGACGGGACTACTTGCCATCTCTGACCCCGCCTACTTACCCTTGGGTGACACCCACCTCAAACCTATATAATATAACCTCGTATTGCAGCAGCCCTTTTTTGTTCAACAGTTCTACTGCTGTATCTTTCCACCTGATGACGATTGCTTGTGTAGTGGTGATACGCGCTGGGATTAGGGATCGTATGCCAGCGCGTAATGATTGGCTGTGTATGTGGTGACGCGCGCTGACGGTGGAGGATCAGGGGTCAGCGCGGGGTCGTGGGTTACGGGGTGCTGATTGGCTGTGTGCCGGTGACGCGCTGAGAGGGAGTGATCAGGTGACAGCGCGGTGTGATTGGTGGTGTAGTGTTAACACGCGCTGGGGGAAAACGGATCGTAGAGAGAGCGCGTCGTGATTGGTTAACTAAGGAGCGATGCTCACGTAGACGTCCGCATCAGCTCCGTCTCCCGTGAGCAGGGGCTATAAAAGGGGATGCACACAGGCGTAAGGGCAGTATGTAACCAGCGAAGAATGAAGACGGGGATCGAAGAGATAGGGCCCTGCGGTACCTAGTCCCGCTGTCCTAACGGGACCGGGACTCTGTGTAACCCAGAGGCGAGTGTATTGTGTGTAGCCATAGGTATAGGGTCTACACGAGCCGAATGCATTGTGTGTAGCCAGAGGCATAGGGTCTACACGAGCCGAATGCATTGTGTGTAGCCAGAGGCATAGGGTCTACACGAGTCAAGTGTATTGTGTGTAGCCAGAGGCATAGGGTCTACACGAGTCAAGTGTATTGTGTGTAGCCAGAGGCATAGGGTCTACACGAGTCAAGTGTATTGTGTGTAGCCAGAGGCATAGAGTCTACACGAGTTAAGTGGAGTGTATAGTACAAAGAATAGAGACCACACGTTGTATTGTGACACGTCAAGGTTTAATAAAAGTGTGTTACCCGTCAAGAAGTTCCTGCCGTCATTTCCAATACTTCAACTGGTGTCAGAAGTGGGGTCGTCTCCAAATGGCGGACAGTTCCCTGCTAGCATTGCGCCGCAGGACGGGGGGTTCCGAAGGTGACCATGAACGAACTGGCTCCTACGTACTTAAGCAAGGCCTGTTAATGAGATGGGACAGTTTGTCCCGGCGGCACGCGATTGTGGTGCCTTCTGCTGTGAGGGGGAAAGTTGTCTTGGCCGCACACGAACGCCTCTTGCATTTGGGAGTTAACAAAACGCTTGCCCTGCTTCAGCGTGACTATTATTGGCCGGGAATGGGGAGTGACGTGGTGAATATTCTGAAGGGTTGTGTTGAGTGCGCCAGACGGAAACCACCGCCTGTGGCAGCTAATCCACCGCTGCAATCTATTCAGGTCTCGCGCACTAACGAGCTCTTTGCACTCGATATTCTGGGGCCTTTTCCAGTCACGCCTAGAGGTAATAAGTACCTGTTGGTGGGGGTCGAATATTTTACCCGGTGGCCTATGGCGTGGCCACTCGCCAACCAGTCGGCGGCGGCTGTGACGGACGCCTTTGTCCAGGGCTACGTCCTGGACAAGGGGGCTCCCGAACGCTTGCTGACCGACCAAGGGAAAATTTTTCGAGTAAATTACTGCAAGAGGTGTGCGACCTGTTGGGTACTAAGAAGGTGCGTACCTCCCCGTACCACCCGCAGACGGACGGGATGGTGGAGAGACTCCACAGGACATTGACTTCTATGCTGTGCCAGCAGGTGTGTGAGGCACATGTTGATTGGGACCTGCAGGTCCCTGGGGTCCTCGCCGTGTATAGAATGGCCCCCCATGCAGCTACGGGATTTTCCCCGTTCTATCTGATGTACGGTCGGGAGGCCGACCCGCCCATGGAAACGCAGCTGGGCCTGCCCGCACCACGAACTAATTCAAAATTGGCAGAGCATATTAAATTTAATATTCATAAGCTGACAGAGGCGAGGGAGGCCGCACGGCTTAATTCGCGGGCTCGCCAAATTGCAAACGAGCGGTTGCGTGCACGAAAGGTGTCCGTGCACAACTGGGAACCAGGTGACAGGGCCTGGCTGCATTGCTCTCAGGCACCTTTGGCTACGTCGCCTAAATTGTTGAAGCCATGGCGGGGACCCGTGGAGGTCGTGCGGGTTGCACGCCCCCAGTGCGTTCAGATAAAATGGGGAAAACGCCGTTGGTACGTCCACCCCTCCCGACTGAAACCGTTCTCGCCTCCACATGGCCTCCCCTTGTGTCGTGAGGGCCGAGCATGTGACGTGACCGACGACCCTAAGGGGGAAATGTCTTTGCCTGATCCTCACATGTCTCCGCCTGATCCGCTCCCAGGTGTCTCGGAACTGACAGCTGCCGACCATCGGCGGCCGGATCTTCGCGGCGGGGCCGGTCCTTCCAGGCCCGATCCGCGCCGTCTAGAGCTGCCGGAGCCACCGGACGGTCGCCAGCGTCCCGTCCCATACGACGGACCGGCCAGACGGACTCGCGCTAGGTCGCGCTACTTTTTATGACCTACCACGTGAGGAGTCGAGGCAGCCGGAGCGCCTCGTCACTGCGTTTAGTCACAGAGACACTTGGCGCGTTCGGTTTCTGGAGTTCGCTTTTATTGTGTTGTTCGTCGGGCTGTATATTGCTTCTTATTTAAGTGTTGTTGTTGTGTTGTCGTTGTTGCGTTACGGGGCACACTGGGGGGTGGGGTTCTTTTTTTTTATTATTGCGTTGATGTTGGGTTGTGTTGTTGGTTAACAGCCGGGCCGGCTGCAAGCTATGTGGGAGGGGGTGATGTAGTGGTGATACGCGCTGGGATTAGGGATCGTATGCCAGCGCGTAATGATTGGCTGTGTATGTGGTGACGCGCGCTGACGGTGGAGGATCAGGGGTCAGCGCGGGGTCGTGGGTTACGGGGTGCTGATTGGTTGTGTGCCGGTGACGCGCTGAGATGGAGTGATCAGGTGACAGCGCGGTGTGATTGGTGGAGTAGTGTTAACACGCGCTGGGGGAAAACGGATCGTAGAGAGAGCGCGTCGTGATTGGTTAACTAAGGAGCGATGCTCACGTAGACGTCCGCATCAGCTCCGTCTCCCGTGAGCAGGGGCTATAAAAGGGGATGCACACAGGCGTAAGGGCAGTATGTAACCAGCGAAGAATGAAGACGGGGATCGAAGAGATAGGGCCCTGCGGTACCTAGTCCCGCTGTCCTAACGGGACCGGGACTCTGTGTAACCCAGAGGCGAGTGTATTGTGTGTAGCCATAGGCATAGGGTCTACACGAGCCGAATGCATTGTGTGTAGCCAGAGGCATAGGGTCTACACGAGCCGAATGCATTGTGTGTAGCCAGAGGCATAGGGTCTACACGAGTCAAGTGTATTGTGTGTAGCCAGAGGCATATGGTCTACACGAGTCAAGTGTATTGTGTGTAGCCAGAGGCATAGGGTCTACACGAGTCAAGTGTCTTGTGTGTAGCCAGAGGCATAGTCTACACGAGTTAAGTGGAGTGTATAGTACAAAGAATAGAGACCACACGTTGTATTGTGACACGTCAAGGTTTAATAAAAGTGTGTTACCCGTCAAGAAGTTCCTGCCGTCATTTCCAATACTTCACTTGTATTGCGATCGACACATCGTGATTTATTATTTATTTTTCTACTACGTGACTTTACCGAAAGAACCAAAGAGTATGACTTTCAAGAGTTTTTTTTTTCTGGAGAGTCTTGCTTTGCGGTCTATTACTCTTACTATTTCAAGGAGCATGTTGAATAAAGCTTACAAAAGTTCCTGTTGGATTCCTAGCATTAAATGTGAATGCCAGAGGCTTATAGAGCCATATGGCACAGATTCCTAATGGCACAGATTTGGTCAGATCATTATGTGGCCCCACCCAAAAATTAATCATCATCATATGGTTTGGTGCCGAATTTTCCACAGGGAATAGGTGGAGTTCCATTCTTCACAAAGCAGGAAGGCCGGGCGTGTGTCAGGGAGGATCGGCTGCGCATGCTTATTGCATAACACATCATTCATTACCTGAGTGGCAACTTGAATGCATTTTCTAATAATGAAAATGTGTTTACAAATTTTACAAGACATATTCACATCGCACAAAATACAATCACCTATTTGTAAACAGTAATTGCCAAGACCATAAAATATATCCAAATTGAAACATAAACTCCACCCTTGGTTGACATTGCGTCTGAATTAAATTAAGCCCATAATTGGAATTCCTCGCCTAACTCAGGGCTGTTGTGTTAGGATGATAGTTTTGTTTGTACCTAATGTTTCAAATATTGAACACATTCTTGCACCTAAAAGTTACCCCAAGCACAGGCTGAGATGACAAAGAAATACATAATCAGCTAGACATTGTGGTACTGACGTCCAAATACATTGCCTTGTTCCTGCTGTCTAAAGAAGCTAAATGGAAGTGATAATATCTTTCAAAACTGCAAGGAACGATGCTTCTGTGTGTGCCCAACCCACTGAGTATAAGGTTAATCTAAGGTTTGTAAAGAAGCACACTATTTGGTACTCTGGTGTAATTTGACACTCCGTATACAGATTGTTTTCTCCGCAAATAGGATGATGGGCTCTATAAATACGCACACCTTACTGAATTGCTTCTAAGACAGAAGACTGGCGTAAGGAGTCCATCACTAGAGGCAAGTAGACACATATGTTGAACTTACCTCGCACCGTACGTAGGTAACTGCACTATTCGGAGATATATCCAGTGTGTTGAAATATGTGAACTACAAACACATTTATTGGGTCTCTTATGGGGAAAGTGTATAAGTGTTATACTGTAGTTTAAAATAAAATCACGTGCACATCTGGAAATTATTTTAATGAATGCAATGTTTTCAGGCAATAATACTTTCTTAACTCGGAAAAAGGATAACATGCATGCTCTCATGACCAATATTATAATTCACAATTGAATTATTAAACTGATACGAAAATAATAAAATCGTGATAGTTTAGCATTTTGCACTGTGCTGACTGAAGATGAGATTCCACATTTACAAGAGCAATATTTTTAGTGTACTAAGATGGCTTTATGTTGGTATATTTAAAATGTAATGAAATTATTTTACGAATAATTAACATGAATCCATTAAAACGGTATTGTGGTCTACACATAGCCAATTCTTTGCTAAATAACTAATACATTGAGTGGTTCTTTATATTTTAAGCAAATATATTTACGCGTCCAAAAGAGTTATTTTAACCAACAAATAACATACCAACCAATATTTAAAAACATTTTAAAGCAAGGAAATACAATAGGTGTGCAACAGTTAATCGAAAAACTATAGTAAGTGTGTGTTTCATTGAACCTATAAATGTTTCTTTTAAATAATATATTTAAAATGACTTATCTGGCCTCCTGCAACTGCAGTGGTCACGTGAATACGTTACAAATATAACCCTCCACCACCCGATAGAGACAATCAAATCAGGTTTGTCAGGTGGCCACATTCCGGTTTTGCAGGTAAACCAAATCAAATTGACGTGTTTACCCACGTGACAATTTGATTTGGTTGGCTCTGTTTGGTGGTGGAGGGCTATCGCTAAAATTTGTCATTGTAGCTAAACAAGGATCTAACCCAAAATAACCTAATTATGAATCATGATATTGGTCGGTAAAACCTCTTTAAAATTAACTATACTAACAACAGAAACACAAATACGAAAGTGTCACTTCTCGAAAGTGCAATTCGATGCATAAAGAACCCATGTTAATAATCATTTTACATTACACCACAAATCTATATTTAGTTGCCCTGTAATTTAGCTTTCATACAATATATGCATAATTAGCGAATGTTGTGTATTGATGTCTATGAAATATCTTGTGTTTTTTGCATTCATTAAGTCAGCTTTTTTTCTCTCCATATATAAGAATCACGACTGAACAACAATGAAGATGGAACATCCATGTGCGCTTGTCAAAATGATCATTATTATTTTAACATATGGTAAAGTCCCACTTTAATTTTCATACATTATTATAACATTTGGATGCAACGATAGTGTTACAAAAATAATGCTGAGTGTCATTCATGTACTATATGTTAACTTAAGTTATATATACCACGGAATTATAACGTAGGCATAAGATACAAACCATTAAAGTACATCTATTGTTGTTCACGTTCAGCGGACAAAATGGTCAAATATCAAAAAACTTTTTTTTTACGTGAAATAATTTTAATATATACGATTGCCCTGCATTTTTAATCGCACTAATGCATTTTTTTAAAAATTGCTTTTGGTAACGCGATTGATTCTATTTCAGAGATAATGTGCCCAAAAGTACAGGGGAAACCATCCAGTGGAGTGTCCATCACTACTTTGCAGGGATTTATCACCAGTGACAACTACCCGAGTCCATACCCCAAGCACTATGACCGTACCTGGACTATTTCAGGCCCTTCTATGTCCAAAGTCACAGTAAACGTTTTAGATGTGGAGTAAGTAACATTCGCTCTGTTCTCTATATGCACGTGGGAAACCTGTTTTGTTTAATTTGGCATCAACTGATTGTTATATATTTCTTAAGTCATAATAATGCTTTGTTAAAACTTGTTAAACATTATATCTGGGCAATGCATATAACTAATGAGTACGGTGTTTTCTTAATCCATGTCCAAACCTGTAAATGATAAGAAACCCATCACAATGGAGCAATGTATGTTATTTTGGCCTTGTTGTTTCATGACAGCATCTGTTTAGGCAAGCAGTGTCAATCTTCTAAGGTCGCATCAGCAGAGTTAGACTTGTGAAACAAATCGTGTTATGTTATCAGATATGAGAGACTGAAGCCATCCATATAAACCATGGGGCCCATCAGCACAAACAAAATATGCACGATACAGTATTTATTTTGCTCTGTTGATGGCATTGGAATAAAAAAAAAACAATCTTCTGTCTCATCCACACAAAATATAATAGAAATATTAGTCTGGAATGCACAGAGGCTGAGAGACTCAAACAATATAATCCTTATTACAGGTCGATTCTAGTATTGTCAGTCCGTTAAGTGATCAGGCTCAGTTTAGTGCAGCCCAGTCACATGTGTTTCACTTAATACAATTCCAGGCCAGAGGCATTATCATCAGAAAGGAAAAGTTACAAACATCTCACTCATCTGCACAGTTACTGGAACTGTACGCATTTTAACGTGTCTGCTTAATGTTCCTCGCATGGCTGACGTTGAGATAGAGCAATAACTGAGACTTTACCTTTACGTGGTTGAGCCAGACGATTGCGTCAGGAGTAACAGAACGATGCAATTTTCTGGTTCAGCCATCTCCGGTAATGAGGCATCGAACGCAGCCGTGTGATGTAAATGGAAGGTCATGTCACCGTCAGACATGTTGCTCCAATTGTCATAAGTAGTTCCTGAATCAGAATAAATAGTTGTTCTGCATTCGTAGATTAGTTAAATAACATTGCGATTCATTGTAATAATTGAAAAATATTAAATCTAAATGAAACAAGAGAGCTGTGCAAGATGGCTCGATATATATATCACCTGCTCCGATCTATTTCAGGCGTCGTCTTCGACCTTGGCCCTAGTGGTTGGCCACGGGCGTCCAAGGTCTAACGCCTTCTAGACTTGGGGTGTTTAAAACTGGTGGCGTGAAACTCATATTTAATGCCTTAGCTCTGTCTGTAGTGTGACGTGGTTGAGGGGGGTCACGATAACTCTTGTAAAGATAATCCAGCATACATAACAAGTTGAGCATTACGTTGTATTACCATCAGAAACATCGCCTAGAGGTAACCAACCATATTTATCAAATTATTGTCCAAAACCTGAACTTAATAAGCCTTGTCGACCAAGGCAGCGATGCGATCTCACGACGCCACACGCCACGGTGGGCCTTGGCACTTGACCTTTGTCTGGGCGTGGCGCTTTGGCTACAGGCCTTGATTGACCTCATCCTTGGCGTCGTTGTGGCTCTGTCCTTGAATGAAGACTGCCAAAACGAATAGTTTTGCCCCAATGGGAGAAACAAAAAACCCGTGATACACATTCAACACTCCACAATGTGAGCAGCCTTCATCGGCAAAATAGGGAAGGTACGTAGAGAGTACTTAACTGGATTAGAAGTTACAATGCATGCCATATGACCCCCGGCTGATTTGTGTGCATATGCCTTGTATACAGTGCTACGATTTTTAATCATATGATTTGTACCCACAGATTGAATGTGCAAAGTGATAACATCTACATTTATGAAACGAATACAAATCCTCAATTAGGGATTTTGCAAGTATATTCATATCGATCATATCAAAACACTTTAATGATCAGATTTACGGGTGGCAATAATCCAACGCATAGAGGCTTACATGCTAATTATACTATAATTACACTTCTTTTGGAAGATGGTAAGTGTTATTTTAAATACAAGTATGCTGGATAATACTTTACTGTTACCATTATGGACACTGTTTACTCGTCTGTGGCAATACAACGTTTTCCAATTACCTTGCTATTCATGTCAATTCATAATTAAAGAGCTTAAATGTGAGGAGGTCATCCTGAGTGTGTGATCACCATCGTAATTATAAAGCAGAAAATACATTTGTTTTTTTGTGTGAAGCAGCAAAAACTCTCGAACGCTGAGCTCTGGCGTCATGAAATTCGCACAGTTGATGCTATCTGGAATTTCTAAGTCAACGCGACTATTTTCAGTTCGCTACGTCATTCCCTTCCCGAGTTTCCAAAATCGACCTTACGTATAAGTGGGTTAAGGTTGAATTTCCTTGAGTGAAAAACATCCGATTTAGAAAAAAATATCTCGCGACGTTCATTCTTAAGAATTTGTTCAGTCAGAGATTCTTATAATTGTAAAAGTGTTCTCATGTTGTTTCCTCATCGCGTGCTTCATTCGTGAAAGATTTACAATTTAAACTTGATTTGAAGCTTTCGTGACTGCAGGAATTATTCTTTGGTTATTTCAGTAAAGGCACGTAGAAAGAAAATAAATTAAATGATAGAATACGACGTTTCGATCGCAACACAAGCAACCGTCATCAGGTAAAAAACAAACCTAGTGAACTTATAAATACAATGCAATACAACATAGAAAGTCGGCTAACACAACAGTCAGCACCTCACCTAGTTGATTACGTTCTTCCAAAGATTGCTAAATTTGAGAGAGAGACAAAACACAGACACGAGGACACACAGAAAGACACACAAGCAGTGAGAGAGACAACACAACATAGACACACAGTGTGTGTCTATGTTGTGTCTCTGTGTCTCTGTGTCTCTGTGTTGTATCTCTCTGCTTGTGTGTCTTTCTGTGTTTTTACTACGACACGTAACACTGCCGAAATTGATTAAATCCCGGAGTACCAAGCAGGCCAGTACATCTCCAGTAATGAAGCTGCATGGCGCATTTTCGGATTTCCGATCCACGAACGATACCCAACAGTTGTGCATCTTCATGTTCACGTCGAAAACGGTCAGCGTATCTATTTTAACCAAGGTAATTTGCAAAATCTTCTGGCAAATCCACCAAACACAACATTGACAGGTTTCTTCGAGCTATGCAAAACAGACGATTGTGCAAAAACACTGCTTTATTGCGAAATTCCGAAGTATTACGATGGGACAAGTAAAAGAAAGTCTTCAGTCGACGCAAACAAGGTGCAATTGTTGAAGGACATGTCTGCATTCAATCTGGCGACGCTCTTGGCCGTGTTTACACAGTCCACATGATAAACTTCGATTGCTACTACTTGAGAATGTTGTTGCACAAAGTCAAAGGCCTAACTTGCTTCAAGAATCTCCGGACAGTCGATGGAGTTGGACACAACACGTATCATGCAGCTTGCCTGGCATTGGGACTACTAGAGAACGACAATTAATTGGACGAGACATTGAAGGAAGCGAAGGAATTGGATTCACCATCAAAAATTAGAACTCTCTTTGCAGTCATCCTGTTGTTTTAACCATCAAATCCTAAAGCACTTTGGGAGAGCCATTAAGACTGCATGTCTGAAGACTTTTTTAATAGACTTCGACGAGATAATCCTCAAATGACTTTGGAATTCACTGATGACATCTATATTGAGGCGCTTATCATGACTGAAGATAAAGTGAGTGAAAAAAGTATTTGATCCCCTGCTGATTTTGTACGTTTGCCCACTGACAAAGAAATTATTAGTCTATAATTTTAATGGTAGGTTTATTTGAACAGTGAAAGACAGAATAACAACAACAAAATTCAGAAAAACGCATGTCAAAAATGTTATAAATTGATTTGCATTTTAATGAGGGAAATAAGTATTTGACCCCTTTGCAAAACATGACTTAGTACTTGGTGGCAAAACCCTTGTTGGCAATCACGGAGGTCAGACGTTTCTTGTAGTTGGCCACCAGGTTTGCACACAACTCAGGAGGGATTTTGTCCCACTCCTCTTTGCAGATCTTCTCCTAGTCATTAAGATTTCGAGGCTGACGTTTGGCAACTCGAACCTTCAGCTCCCTCCACAGATTTTCTATGGGATTAAGGTCTGGAGACTGGCTAGGCCACTCCAGGACCTTAATGTGCTTCTTCTTGAGCCACTCCTTTGTTGCCTTGGCCGTGTGTTTTGGGTCATTGTCATGCTGGAATACCCATCCACGACCCATTTTCAATGCCCTGGCTGAGGGAAGAAGGTTATCACCCAAGATTTGACGGTACATGGCCCCGTCTATCGTCCTTTTGATGCGGTGAAGTTGTCCTGTCCCCTTAGCAGAAAAACACCGCCAAAACATAATGTTTCCACCTCCATGAGTTGATGCCAAAGAGCTCCATTTTGGTCTCATCTGACCACAACACTTTCACCAAGTTGTCCTTTGAATCATTCAGATGTTCATTGGCAAACTTCAGACGGGCATGCATATGTGCTTTCTTGAGCAGGGGGACCTTGCGGGCGCTGCAGGATTTCAGTCCTTCACGGTGTAGTGTGTTACCAACTGTTTTCTTAGTGACTATGGTCCCAGCTGCCTTGAGATCATTGACAAGATCTTCCCGTGTAGTTATGGGCTGATTCCTCACCGTTCTCATGATCATTGCAACTCCAGTTCTTTCGTGTTTCTTCCATTTGCGAAAAATCGCACCAACTATTGTCACCTTCTCACCAAGCTGCTTGGTGATGGTCTTGTAGCCCATTCCAGCCTTGTGTAGGTCTACAATCTTGTCCCTGACATCCTTGAAGAGCTCTTTGGTCTTGGCCATGGTGGAGAGTTTGGAATCTGATTGATTGGTTGCTTCTGTGAACAGGTGTCTTTTATACAGGTAACAAGCTGAGATTAGGAGCACTCCCTTTAAGAGTGTGCTCCTAATCTCAGCTCGTTACCTGTATAAAAGACACCTGGGAGCCAGAAATCTTTCTAATTGAAAGGAGGTCAAATACTTATTTCCCTCATTAAAATGCAAATCAATTTATAACATTTTTGACATGCGTTTTTCTGGATTTTTTTGTTATTCTGTCTCTCACTGTTCAAATAAACCTACCATTAAAATTATAGACTGTTGATTTATTTGTCAGTGGGCAAATGTACAAAATAAGCAGGGGATCAAATACTTTTTTCCCTCACTGTAAAGTTTTGGAGATGATTGGAAAGTCTTTGTCAGAGATCGGCATTAAAAGTCCTTCACGATAGCAAGCAGTAAACATGACTTGAGAAATGCTTCGAGAGTTATCATATGTCTCTGACAAAATGCTGAATTACGTCGTGCAGAACGAGCCACTGTTGAATGCAGAGCAAAAAACAATTTATCAGGAGGTTCCACGACGACATTATAGAAATGAAGGCGGAGTACGGTAATTTTCATCGACACACCTGGAGGAACTGGAAATACTTTTTTTTTATCAACTTTTTTGCTGGCCCGCATCAAAGGAGAAAAGAAGATTGCACTTACTGTTGCATCTTCTGGCATCGCTGCAACGTTGATGACTGGTGGACGAATATCGCATTCAACACTTCAAATCCCGATTGACTTGGTCTATAATGAAGTGCCCGTTTGCAACACCAAGAAGCTAAAGCGTTATTCTGGGATGAAATCTCGATTATGCATAACCACGGATTTGAGGCAGTGAACAGAACACTGCAAGACATTCGTGGCGACAAAAATCTTATGGGCGGTTTGATTGTTGTCTTTGCTGGTGGTTTTCGCCAAAGGTTACCAGTGATTCCAAGAGGCACGATGGTTGATGAGATCAAAGCCTGCCTGAAATCATCTTAGCTTTGGAGAGACGTCACAACAATGAAGCTCACGACCAACATGAGAGTTCAGCAATCTGATAGCTATGACTCCAATAATTTTCTCAACATTGGCAACGGCAAGGAAGCAACAAGTGAAACTGGATAAATCCAGCTTTCCTAAGAATTCAGCAAAAACTTGTCTTACTCTGAAGAGTCTCATCAATTGTTTGTATCCAAACATCGGAGCAAATCTTCTGGATCGCAAATTGCTTAAGGAACCTACAATTCTGCCACCACTAAACGTCAAAGTTGAGGAAATCAACAAATCCATTCAAGAAATGATTCAAGCACTTTCACGAACATTCTTCTCCATTGACAAATGTATGAAGACGAAGCAAAAAGCTATCCGGTAGAATTTTTGAATTCTTTGAATCCAAACGGAATTCCGCCACACAAATTAATGCTCAAACTTGGATCTCCCATCATGCTGTTAAGAAATTTGGACCCACCAAAACTGTGTAACAGATAAAAACTGATGTGAAGGCATTAAATGCTCATGTCATCAAGGCATCGATTCTAACTGGTCCATTTGAAGGCGAGCACATCTTCATTCCAATTATTCCATTGAATCCAACTGATTTGCCATTTTCCTTCAAACAATTACAATTTCCTGTTCGGCTTGCATATGCAATCACCATTAATACATCGCAGGGATAGTCACATAAAGTTACGGGCTTGGATTTGAAAGACGAATGCTTCTCACATGTTGGAATGTCAAGAGCAAAGGCTCCAACAAAATTATACATTGTCACCGATGAAGAAACAAAAACCAGAAATGTTGTGTACGGCCAAATGTTGAAATAATCACTCTATGAATAGATAATTTGTGATGACTGAATTAGTTAAATTTATTTGTTTCTGCTTTTTAATTTCTTGCAAGCATCAAGTTATTTCATGGTTTTTCAGTGAAATATAAGGGAATATGAAATTAATCCAACACAAGAATCCAAGTCCCGGGCGAAGCCGGGTAGTAAAGCTAGTTGACTATACAATTTAGTAAGGTGGTGAATAAGGACATAGACTACAAATGTAAGGAAGAAGAGATCATACCTGTGAACCCCCTATCAGTGCATATCGTATTATAGACCAATTCAGAAGTTATTAGTCATCCGGTGCCCTTATAAATCTCAACGTTCATCCTACAAAGTCCCATCACAAGGGAGAAACACAACGATAATGACAAACACGTTTTTTTTCTGCCCTATTGAAATGGCTGTACGCCGTATGGACCTAAACACTCAATTTCCCTGTACAAGAATACGGTTAAACTGTATGGGTTGACAGGTATAATAGATTGCCGTTGTTGCTTGTTTAACTTTTTTAACTCTGTAAAATATATCACATAGATAACAATGATTGATTGGCTTTCTTTAAAATGCTGTGCTGCACACATTAATTGCATTGAAAGTCTTACTGCTGATCAGTTTAGTATTCTTAAATGTGATCCCTTAAAAGTTATATTGACAGTACTTGTAATCATCATTAATGAGCAGGACATACAGTATATAGAAATCTGTAAGGTATGAAATGAGTATGATATGGAATCTTAATTACTTAAACGTTTAAGATAACTTGGATTGAAATGCCTTTCAGACGACACAAGGCCTATCGGATTGGAATCTGGTGTTATACCAGACAGTCTTATAACTGCCTCATCCACATTCGGTTCCACATTTACACCGCAAAATGCCCGCTTGAATAGCACACTGGGATACTGGAGACCACAAACTCTCAACGCCAATGAGTACCTGCAGATATTGTTTGAGGCCAGGCTTTCTGTGACAGGACTGATCTTGCAAGGGGCAGTACTGCAGGTGGCCTCACTCAATAAGTTAACTCCCGGTTGGGTTACTGCCATCAACATAGCCATCATGGACCCAGGAACATCAGCGTGGAAGAACACAAATACCATAGTAAGTATTTAATAAGACACTGCACACAAAGGTTATTAAGCATGCCCAACCCTCTGCTGGTCTGAACTCACCTCATCAAACTCTATTTGGTTTGCATTATTTAAGGACCCCAACCATTTTGTCCTTTTGGAAAAAGAAAAGTTCCATCCAATATTTCATCCTCAAAACTGCCTAATGTAATAATGCACCCTCAGACAATTTTTGGTAGAGAAACCGGTTGTCATCATCCGTAGAATCACGACATTCATCAAGAATATCATCATCGTGTTCATCGTCTTTGCCTTCATCATCACTGGCATCTTCACGTGCCCATATACCTCCGTTCTTCTTATGTTCTACAAGGATTAGAACAATTAAAACTAATTTGACAGTTTAAATAAAAATGCTAAATAAATGCTGTGGAATGGAGGTACCACACATTCACGCGTGACTGTGCAGAATGGGTACCCATGCTTTATCTCTCTACTCCTGGCACAAGTCATGCCCCCAGAGCTTGTTTGATGCGATTCCACAAAATGTTGGAAAATTTTCCACGTATTTCCAGAAACTTTCTGTCATTTGAGGCCATGTTGCCATTGTGTCACGAGTTGTGTATGTAATATATGGAATTTTACATGAAATCAGCTTGACGTAAATCGCAAATGGTGGAATGGGGCAGTTCTCCTCCCCCCCACACATAAACTGCTGTCTTTCCACCAGAAACGTGGTGATACGATACCCAGAAATAGCTACATGAATAAGGCACTTTGTCTCATTGTCCCAGTCATATCCTAAATCCGTCTGTTGACATACTTTGATAAATAACAAATCATTTGCAATGAGCTTTTTTGTGTAAGTAGCCAGAACCCCCCCCCCCCTGGTAAAGGAGGTCTTGCATTTAACGCTTGTGGGGTCGTCACCTGGTTATGAATGAAAATGTTATCTTAACAGAGCGTATCATATAATTTAGTCAGGGGTAATACATTGATTTTATTTTTGCAACACTTATTTTTTTGTATTGGTGTGTGATGCTATGTCCATTTATCTTAAATATTATGTAAATAACTACATGGGTTGACCCAATGTTTACTTTTCTTGTTTCAGTATTTTACTGGCATCGATAACTATCAGGACCCAAAGACCACATTATTTACAAATCCCTTGCAGTGCACGGGAATACGGATCAAGCCCACCAACTGGCAGAGTGACATAGCCCTGCGAGTGGAGGTTCTTTCACGCACCTCCAGAGCCAATGCCACTAAAATAACATGCGTGGCGAGCAACACGAACATGATTGCGACTCTGATGGCGGAAAACGTCTACATGGGATTTGCTTGCTACCTCTGGGACCTTGGGGATGGTCACACAGTTGCCTATGGTGCCGAGTTCTGTAAACGTTTGTGGCCAAACGTGGCCACGGTAAACGAATACGCGTCAGACACTTTGACCTTCTCATATACCTATTCATCCTTTGGAAAGTATTCAATCCAACTCCAAGAAATCACCGGGTTTTCCCGCAGCAGTTACAACACGACTCTGTACTTAAACAGTTATGGCTGTACACCTTATACGTTGATAATTGGAGATGAAACGGCAAATAAACCCAAGACGCAGTTTTTAAAAGTGCCCGAACAGTTGGATGTGATGGCAACTTTGAACATGTCTTGCTTGCTCAAATATGAAAATATTCAGTACATCTGGTCCATCACAAACCAGCAAAATGGGAACATAAGAGCAATAAATGCAAACAATAATAGCTTGCAACATTTCGATCCCTTCTATTTCACCCAAGGCACGTTCTTAATACAGGTCACCGTCAATCTCCAACCACTCGGCTTGCAAAATTTGTTGGACAATATTACCCTCATCGTTGATGCGACTCCATTACAAGTGCAGATCACTGGTGGAGACACCAGGACTGTTGGCAATGAAGCTGATGTGCAGATCGATGCATCTCTGTCTTATGATCCAGACGATCCAGGCCAGAGCAACAGCGGGATTACATTTAAGTGGCGATGCACCAAAGTATCTTATGATAACAAATTGACAATCTGCACGTATGTTGACTTGGGCGCTGGCATCATATCCATCCCTCAGTCTGAACTGCAAACAAATTCTGTCCTACAAGTTGAGGTGACGGCAACTAAAAATATTCGTGTTGCAAATAAAACACAAGTTATTCACGTGATAGAAGGAAATCCTCTGGACATATACATAAGGTACAGAACGCATTGTGTTATGTTCCACTGTGCACCTGTATCAGTGGCGTCGTGGCGTTCGTAGCATGGGCTATGGTGCAAAAAAATGAAATGGGAATCCCCCGTTCAATTCCGCCCCCTCTCTTCGTAGCCCGGACCTTGAGCCCCTCCGGCTATTGGCCCTGGTGCAGTAGCACCACCTGCACACTCAAAAGTCGCTGGTTTGTGTGTGTGTATACGTTGTGTGTGGAGGGGAGCAGTGGCACAGCGGTTTGCACACCACGCTACTAGCCCAGTGGTCCAAGTTCAATTCATGCTCACGGCCACCAGCACCAGTGACGATTATCTGAATCGGTCCTGGCCCTCACCTAGGTAGACTCAGCCTCAAATGAGTACCTGGTATGGGGTGTAAAAATATCGTCACTGGTGGTGCTGGTCACCCACCCCCTTGTGTGCTTTGCTGGCTTTCATATGTGCTCCCTAACAGCACCTGCCCGAACGGTATTTTAACGCTATACGGGAAATCTTTGTCTTTGATGGGTGCACACAGTGATTAGTGCCCAATATTATGATATGTAAGACTGGGTAAACTCCTAACCAATGGGTATTTGTTATTTGATCTGGTATGAGCTCTCAATAAGTTGGGAATCGACAGTTATTGCATCAACACTCGTGAGGCAAAGGCAGCTAGTTGTCATTCTGGACACACGCCTCACTCGTGTGCAGTGTTGGCCTTTAAGAGTGCTCACAAGAATCACTTTGCCCCAACAGCATATTTAGTTTTTTTTATATGTGAAGGAGGCATAGTCTGTTTATTTATTACATGTGTAATGTGTATTCCTTTAGTCGATCGTTTTTTACTTACAAATTATGAATATGATACTTAGTATCTATGTTAAAATAATGAGATTTGAAGGTCACATTGACTTCATGTTTTTTTGTTACCTACAAATTATGAATGCAATACTGTATTTATGATTTATTTAAAGATAATGAGATTGAAAGGTCACAGTCACTTCATGTTTAAATGACGGTGTGTGGTGCTCCTGTCAATTTGTGGCTAAAGCTATTGTTGGACATTCCATATTCATGTGGTCGAGTTAGACACTCCAAAGTAGAAGCACTGCTGATGTCCCACACATGAGTATTTCATTTGTTGACCTCAAGAGAGTTGACCATCAACTGAGCATTATTTCAAGGTGTCCCCTATCCCAATATTTATGCAGCTGTTGTTACTAGATAAGCACGCATCTTTGTTTGACTGATTTTGTACAATCACAATTATTTATTTATTTTTAAACTGTTTTCTTTCCAGTTGTGAATATATTTGCAGTGAACATGTGACCACGACGGAGCCACTTGTACTGTCAGTTGAGTGCGTCAACTGCAATGATGACGCCGTGTCTTACCAGTGGGAGCTGATGTCCAGGAATAACATAGTCAGCAACTTCGCAGCCATGACATCTACCGGTACACATTTCATTGGCAAATTTGATTTGATATCTGATTGCATTGCAAAGTGTCTAAAATATGTTTTTTCCCAGTACTAAACTATTTGAACTATTTAACAACAAGGGTAATGTCTTCATCCATACACTCTTGTAAGGCAGTGCGTATTTGTATTTGCATTCCTTAAGTCAGTGGTGGAAATTGCACATTACTGTGGTCGGCCCAATTTATTCTATAGAACAGCCACTAATGACCTATCAAAATATATTACTCATGTTATTGACCCTTTGCGGGATGGTGCAATAACCGTGGTAATTTACAATAACAGTCGTTGAGAAAACAATAACAACTAACCCATGCCACAGTTTTCTGCAAGCATTCCTAGAAATGTAGCTCTGCTGAAACGCCATTAACATTCTGATGAAACGCTGGTGTATACTAATGTCATCCCAACTTGCCAAACTTGCTTAAATTACCGCATTGGGAAGCACCGCGTAGAGCAACATCAACGCCCCGGTGGCAGACGAATGTAATGCGCACTTGGCAGGGCGGTGCTGGGCCCACCTTCGTGCCACGCAGGGGACAGCTTGCCGCTGGAGGTTCCATCAGGCTCGACCAGTGGCTCTTTACTTGGGGTGCACGCACCCCCTGGAGGTGTGAGATGCAATTTCTGGGGGTGCGAGACATGGCCATATTTTTTTAGAAGGTAAATCATCGAAACACAAATTAAGCATGGGCACGTAAGTACAACTACCTTATACCATTGGAACCTCATTTGTCAGTAAAAATATGATAATTGTTTTTTTACACTTCTATTTGGCAACAAAACTGACACCTTTTTTTACAAGGAGTCATGTTTGCATACATTATCAGAGTTTTGTTTGCATTATGACTGCAGGTATTGTGGTCTATGCAAACATGACTTGTAAAAAAGGTGTCAGTTTTGTTGCCAGATAGAAGGGTAAAAAACCAATTATCATACAACTACACTATGGGAACCTCATTTGCCAGTAAAAATATGATAATTGGTTTTTTACCCTTTTATCTGGCAACAAAACTGACACCTTTTTACAAGGAGTCATGTTTGCATAGACCGCAATACCTGCAGTCCTAAATACAAACAAAAGACATAACTCTGATAATGTGCACTGTCCTTGAAGTTGATTGGTCCACACCCGAGACAGCTTTCCTTAGAGCCTAGTCTCACATGGGTTGGACCAGATGACGCCAAAAGGCGCACAACTCAAAGACAATGCACCATCAGAGTATGAGAGCTCGGGGCAAGCATCTACACTATGGGAACCTCATTTGCCAGTAAAAATATAATAATTGTTTTTTTACCCTTCTATCTGGCAACAAAACTGACACCTTTTTACAAGGAGTAATGTTTGCATAGACCGCAATACCTGCAGTTATAAATACAAACAAAAGACATAACTCTGATAATGTGCACTGTCCTTGAAGTTGATTGGTCCACACCCGAGACAGCTTTCCTTAGAGCCTAGTCTCACAAGGACAGTGCACATTATCAGAGTTATGTCTTTTGTTTGTATTTATGACTGCAGGTATTGCGGTCTATGCAAACATGACTCCTTGTAAAAAGGTGTCAGTTTTGTTGCCAGATAGAAGGGTAAAAAACCATCTTCTTGGTTCTTTCGGTAAAGTCACGTAGAAAGAACCAAGAAGATGAATCCCTGCAGTCACGAAAGCTTTAAATGGTAAAAAAAACAATTATCATATCATACAACTACTTTGTTTCATCAAACATGTATATTTTTTTACATTATATGTTTTTACGATTGAGAACCAAAGGGGTGCAAGGCTGCAGTCAAGGTTAAGAACCACTTGTCCAGACTGTAGCAACGCAATGGAATGGTGGAGAAGAGGTGCTTTCAATTGTCGAGGCATTTGTTGTCCCCAACAAATTATTTTTTCCGCAATGTTGACAACTAATTTACTTACCATCCATAATTGTGTCTGAGTTTGAGCTAATTGCACAGTTATTGGTTATCTGCAGTTTACTCTTGTAAAGTTTATATTATACATGCAGTGTGTATATGACTACATGGGCTATGCATTTTGTAGGTATCTCAAATACACCGGTGTGCTGAACTAGTAACTAATTGGCACGTTTTGTTTACGTAACAAACGTTACTAATTGGCTGTATCAGGTGCACCTGATACAGCCAATTAGTAAATGTAAATCAATTTCACCCAGATCATTAATAAATATTAATCAGATTCCACCAGATATTTAGTAAATCTAAATTACCATTGCTCAGATATTAAGTAAATATAAATCACTTTTCCTTGTAAAATCTATTTGGATTTACACAAATTTTTTTAGGCTATATAACTCATCATTTGGAATCATATTACTAAATCCAACACATTTTAACTGTTGCTTTTATTACCATGTACTTATTTTTTATTATTATTTTTTAGTTAATTTATTCAACACTTTTTATTCAAAGTTGTAGTGCTTAAAATCTACTCAATTATATTACGTGTCACTTTGTTGCCATAATTTTTTTAAGTAACAATGTGTCACATTTTTTACAGTGTGGTGGCGGGGTTAACGACACATTTATATTTACGCGATCTAACCCAAAAAAAACCCTTTATTATGTGCTATGTATGTTTGTTTTAAGGCACCGAGGATGGAGGCTTGGTGGTGCTTGAAGACATGCTGCAGATCGGGGAGGAATACCAGATTAGAGTGAGAGTTGGCACTGCCAGTAGAGCTGCTGCAGAGGCCACGTACTCATTTTCAACCAGCATCCCCCAAAGCAATGGCACGTGCACATGCAACCCAGAGTCTGGTCAGTATTACACCGTGTCTCGCAACAGTACACTGTCTGGAACCAGAACTGATGCATATGTACGTATTCATATATTTTGAACTTTTGTCGCATCGTACGTAGTCTTGCTTATCGGAGGTGCAGGGGACAGATAATAAACTAAACACAGATGCTATATGTAACTACGAGTCACTAGGTCGGCCCATGAGCCCTCTCTTCGCACCCCAAACTCCCCTGATCCCACAAACCTGCTCGGAATAGCATTCAATTCTAAGAGTGTAATCACGATTCCGGACTGTAAATTGTGAGACTTGCGCAGCTGTACTTTTCATTACCGAACTTTATTCTTGGTAGCCTTGTCACCTTAGTTTATTCGTGTTAGGTGACAAGGCCACCAAGAAGGTGAATTGAAAGTTGGTATTACACTTTTCAAATCTCATATTAAAATGTTTCACTGCCCCTTGAATATATACACTATGTGTGAAAGTATGCTCAAAGGCTGCTTTATTTCCAAAACTAATGCTAACGCTGTACTTGAGCTTATTTGTTGCTTGAAGCTTAACAGATATTCATGCTTAATGAAATAGGTGAAGCTCCATGAAGTTAAAGCAATTGTTTAACAATGCACTTAGTTACATATCATAGTGAACAGAAATGGAAATGTGTTGCCCAGGTAGTGCATTGACGGTTGGTTTTAGAACAGCGACTTTTAAAGCGTCCTCTGAATGTGGTGGATGTGTGCTGGGGGAAGATAATTTCTGAAATAATCATCAATAGATCATAGACAATCTGTAATAATCTGGCTGGATACAATCACATTTGCAAATTTAATTTGTACGTTTGAGCCTTACCACTTGTGTATCGATAGTTACATTTTAATGTGTAATGTTATTGAGGGAATGTGTGTTGTCTTGGTGTGGTCTGTGACAGTTTTTTGTTATTCTTTTAGTTGCCTTGCCCAAGCTTAAATTTAGCGTTGAAAAATCTCCAGGAATGTTATACTTACATACTTTATTTATGTATTAACAATCTATTTATTTAGCGTGACTTGCTTACCTTGCACTCATTTCGTTTGTGTTTTGTCTACGTGTTGTGTTTGTTGCATTGCAACTTGCTGACACCGTGCCCCTACTGGACATCTGTGAAAAAGAACACCATCGCTCATCGGATTCCTTCAGTGTAAATACATATTCTGATGTGTCAGTCATAACTAATGCTGCTCTACAGGCTTTTACATTTATATTCTTTCTCGTAATTTCACTCAAGGTTTTGCAGCAGTGACGCTCTTCCAGCTCTCATGCAGTGGCTGGACGAGTGAGAGTAAGTCCCGACAGCAGCTCACCTACACGTTTAAGGCCGTGTCGAACCACACCGAGTTCCTGCTCTCCAGCTCTCAGCTGAGCCAGACTCCCTCTCTGCTGCTGCCCGTGGGAGACCTCGACACCCAAGGGACGCTGGACCTCAGGGCGAGCGTGTGCAACTCCGCGGCAGCTTGTGCGTCGGCCCCCATACATGTGTTGGTAAGAGTTTGTATAAATACACTAGTTTGTGAACATTTTTTACAAACGTAAAAAAAAATTGCTGGGTTTTTTATTCTAATAGCCTCTTTGGACAATGAGAATACTCAATGTTAAACAATCTAGAAAGGCAGTCATTTAATAAATCATCTCCATTGTATGAAAAAATAAGAATAGGTTTTATAATTTCTGGCAATAAAACAGGTGTTAAAATGTTCAAACACCAAATATAAACCTTTTGCAAGGAATCAAGTTCTCATTAACCACACTTACTTGTGATGAACTAGCAAACAAGCATGCTCCGATAATATATGTATTTTATTTTAAATTGATTGGCCTTCACCAGAGACAGCCTTAAATTTCGATTTAAAGCTTTCGTGACTGCAGGGATTCATCTTCTTGGTTCTTTCGGTAAAGTCATGTAGAAGGGAAATAATCAACTAATAAAAATAAAACATAATAAAATAATTCTCACGACGTTTCGGCCACAACGCAAGCAGCCGTCCTCAGGTGAAGAACAGATCTGCCAGAAAGACAGCATCTGAATGAACACCATCAGGCTTAGCAGCATATATTTAAGCTGGGTTGGAGGGGGAAGAGCGCCTTGACAAAGGAATTTGCATATCAAGAGGAATTTAGCATATTTATGGGAAATGCAGATATGGGATTAGTCAGTACTTGTGGAATGCGTAGGAGGTGGGCGGGGAGGGGTACTAAGAGGAAGCAACGAAATATGTCAATGGGAGAGTGTTGGTAGGAGACTTGCAGCGGAGCAAAGAATCCTACCACCACTGTCCCATTGACATATTTCGTTGCTTCCTCTTTTGCAACCTCTCCAGAAATTAAAAAGATCGTTGTAAGTAAGGAGTTGTCCCTTGCTTTTTATTCAACGCGTGTGCGGCGATGGCACAGCTATCGATTGAGGGTCGAATTCGAACCGTGTGTGATCGGCATCACGCCTTCAGGGAAGTCATGTACTGTATACAAAACTGCGCACAATTCTGTGAGTCACTTATAACTGCTTTGCCGTTACTTATTGCAAATTATCGACTCAGACTATTGTCCGATCATCTCATAGAGTCCCTGGCATGTAATAATATGCTACACAGTGGCAGTGAGTGTAGCAAAATGCCGATTTATTAATAACTAGCTTATATACCCGGCGTTGCCTGAGCCAAAAAAATATTTCAAAACTACTCTTAAAAATCTAACAGCAGGGTGTACTGACTGTGGTGGTACCTATGATTACAGCAGTGCATACCGACTGTGGTGGTACCTGTTATCAATATATTTATTGATTCTATAGCATAAAGTACTCACCTGACAGTGTGTTGTGGTGAGGCCTAGTCCGGTGCAGAGCCTCCGGCCTCGCCTAGAATGTCCAGCCAGCCGAGGTGGCACCTTGGCAGGCTGGGCTGCTACCCCTGACCCCCCCCACCCCCCCAGCCACGATCACCCCGGCCGCTCTGCAGTAATATCTACGGCCTATAGTGGTAGCATCTAGCGACTGTATATATTAGTAACTGCACGCATCGGGGTGGGGGGGACATCACACAGTGAAGATTTAAGCTCAGCGTTTAGTGTATTTTTAAAGCATTTTTTACGCGAAATAAAATGTCCCCCTCACTCCCACCGAAGGCATGCCACTTGGCATGGGCCGTTCCCCTTACCAATAAATAAAGAAATACATAAATAGATAAAGAGATAGCGCTAAAGAATAGCACTAAATCGCTAATTTAACTTATTAAAAGTTGACGGAAGTGAAAAAGGAATAGCGCTTGCTCACGGCGGGGCTTACGGTGTAGTACCTGTCTATTTTTATTTAATATAAACCCCACCATTGGAGAGCCAAATCCTTCGCAAGCACGCGAACACACACAAAGCCACAAACTGACAGACAATTTTTTACTTTTATAATAAATACAAATAAAAGATAGATAAACCCAAATAATCCGATCGAAATTAGGGATTTCGATCATTGGGGGGGCACGTGCCACCCCACCCCCCCACTGGCTCTGCCAGTGCACCCTTCTACATCAAAAATAGATTAATTGCAGTCAAACAAATTGATCAATAAATGTTTGTGACATTAGGTGCAAACCTAATGAAAAATGTTTGGTTACAGTGACTAGGTTAATACCATCAACTTACGACATTTGTAATCCCAGTTTAAACCTGGACTGGTGCATGGATTCGGATCGAGGATCTGAGGAGATGACAGCTTAGTGATCCCATCTTGATCTCAGCCATATCGTCACGTCCGAAGAACTTTTGACAAAAAGAATACGTTGAATTAAAATTGCATTGCGAGATATGTATCACAGTTCACCGTTTATAAAGGGTTTTATTGACAGATGTAATTTGTTTTTCAGGTGACACGTCCTCCAGCAGATTTGTTGGTAAACAACACGCACGCAATGCTAGCATCTGGTGGCAAAATCCAGCTCATGGTGCAATATAGAAATCCAATTGTCTCTACATTCATCAGCATTACAACAGCAGCCTTGCAAGACATTGCCAGTGAATATGATGTGACGCAGGTACTTTCGTTAAACAAATGTGTTAATTTAGTTTTCCGATTTAAAGCTTTCGTGACTGCAGGGATTCATCTTCTTGGTTCTTTCGGTAAAGTAACGTAGAAGGGAAGTAACAAAATAATAAAAATAAACATAATAAAATAATTCTCACGACGTTTCGGCTACAACGCAAGCAGCCATCTTCAGGTGAAGAATGAAACATTGCCAAGCTTGGAGCGTATATATAAGCTGGGTTGGAGGTGGAAGAAGAGCGCGTTGACAAAATAATTTGCATATCAAGAGGAATTTATCATATATATGTGGGAAATGCGTAGGAGATGGGCGGGGGGTGGGGGGGGTTCAAAGTCACATTATGCCCATGCATTATGCAGGATTAGCAGTATCAAAGGGAGGGGGTAGGGGGTAGCATTAACAAAGGGAGGAAATGTTAATAGTATGTAGAAGCAACGAAACATGTCAATGGGAGAGCGGAGGGACTGAGACCCGCAGCGGAGCAAATAATGCATTCCCTGTGGAGAACACAAGATACAGTCAATGCCAGTGAGTGGACTGCGGTCTGAAAGTCACCGTAAACGTGAACAACAATCAGTTAAGATCCGAAATGGTTTATTACGTAATTCCAATGATTGCTGAGCCAGAATCCATCTTCTCGGTTGAAATTGTCTCTGTGTTTGTATATGTGGATCGCCTCATGAACGAATATCTCATGGTAGCCATATGGCTTGCAGAGAACCTCTGTCTTGGAGAAGTCAATGTCATGTGAGCCCACTGAATTGTAACAGTGATCTGCCACGGCTGAGGTGTTTGTCCTACCGTGTTTCAGGTCTGTTTTATGTTCACGGATGCAGTCCGAGACATGTCGTTTGGTTTCTCCAATGTAACTGCTACCACAGAGGAAACTTAGTTTGTAGACGCCAGGGTACTGTATGTCTGGAACTATGTCTTTTACAGACGGGACCAGATCACGGATTTTATGTACTTTGTTGAATCGGACCTGGATGGCGTCAGTCTCAAATTTCTCCATGAAAACGTTGGCTGCATCTCCGACCACGAACACATTGCCAGTGAACTCAAACACGTACGCCAAGCTCATAAGGCTAATGGTTACTCCGACTACATAATCCGCAAAGCCATCACTCCAACCATCAAGAAGGATCCTGTTGAGGAGCCTTTCAAGACCATCACCTTACCCTACATTGCTGGGGTCACAAAAAAGATCTCCAAAATCCTGATTAAACACAAGATCCAGGTCCGATTCAACACGGTACATAAAATCCGTGATCTGGTCCCGTCTGTAAAAGACGTGGTTCCAGACATACAGTACCCGGGCGTCTACAAACTAAGTTGTCTCTGTGGTAGCAGTTACATTGGAGAAACCAAACGACATGTCTCGGACTGCATCCATGAACATAAAGCAGACCTGAAACACGGTAGGACAAACACCTCAGCCGTGGCAGATCACTGTTACAATTCAGTGGGCTCACATGACATTGACTTCTCCAAGACAGAGGTTCTCTGCAAGCCATCTGACTATGATGAGAGATTCGTTCATGAGGCGATCCACATATACAAACACAGAGAAAATTTCAACCGAGAAGATGGATTCTGGCTCAGCAATCATTGGAAAGACGTAATAAACCATTTCGGATCTTAACTGATTGTTGTTCACGTTTACGGTGACTTTCAGACCGCAGTCCACTCACTGGCATTGACTGTATCTTATGTTCTCCACAGGGAATGCATTATTTGCTCCACTGCGGGTCTCCTGTCACCGCTCTCCCATTGACATGTTTCGTTGCTTCTACATACTATTAACATTCCCTCCCTTTGTTAATGCTACTCCCTACCCCCTCCCTTTGATGCTGCTAATCCTGCATATTGCATGGGCATAATATGACGTTGAAACCCCCCCGCCCACCTCCTACGCATTTCCCATAAATATGCTAAATTCCTCTTGATATGCAAATTATTTTGTCAAGGCGCTCTTCTTCCACCTCCAACCCAGCTTATATATACGCTCCAAGCTTGGCAGTGTTTCATTCTTCACCTGAAGACAGCTGCTTGCGTTGTAGCCGAAACGTCGTGAGAATTATTTTATTATGTTTTATTTTTATTTTATTACTTCCCTTCTACGTGAATTGTCTCTGTGTTTGTATATGTGGATAGTACTGTAATAGTGTTCCAAGAGACTTTGACACCGGGGTTGGAGGCACACGTATTTATTCCGTGTCAGTACAGTACAGCACTGACATACAACACTGGAGGGGGTATCGGCCCCCTCACCCGTCTAACTGGGGATACACTTCTAGCTATGCCTAGCCTACCCCTGGGTCCTCCACTAACGGACTAGGGAAGGCTAGCTAGCCCGACACTGGTAAGTCGGGCTCACGGTACCCGGAGTCCCAGACCAGCTCTTACAAGAGCACCGGCTCTGGCTCTCGGGACCACGCCGCTGGCCCGATCCTGTCCGGCCCTGACAAGGGCGGCGATCCAGGGGAGTCCAGGGCTCTATCTATGACGATCTTCGATCTTCACTGGTTAGCTTCAACATCTCTCCCTGAGCCCTCCGGCTCATCCCCTTTTATACCAAAACCCCCGCTGAGGGGTGGGGCCCCGGGGGATCCCAGCTCCGAGTCAGCCCCCCAGGCTGCCCGATGCGGACGTCGCTGGGAGCACCTGCCTGTGCACCGACATAGCCACGCCCACTGTGTTTCTTTCCCATCTGATCCCATTGTATACAGCCCCTCCGTAACACCCCTACAGAACCAAGACAATGTTAATTTAGTGTTCAATGTTAGCAATGCGTTTCTGTATTGATCAAGAATGTTCGTTCGTTCATTTCTCATTCCGCTTGTCCTGGCGAGGGTCGCGGCGAGAGCATATTGAGTAGGGCGTTCCAGACCTCCCTTTCCCTGGCGACACACTCGAGCTCTTCCTGGGGAATTCCCAAGCGTTCCCAGGCAGGTTGAACGATATAGTCCCACCAGCGTGTCCTGGGCCGGCTACGGGGTCTTTGACGTGCTGCCCGATAAAGTTCCAGGTGGAGTCTATCAGGGGCCATCCTTACTGGGTGCCCGAAACACCTCAACTGGCTACGCTCGATCCGGAGAAGCAGCGGGTCGACTGTGAGGCTCTCCCCGATTGCCGAGCTCCTCACCCGATCACGGATAGTAAGCCCGGCAACCCTGCGGAGAAACCTCATTTCGGCCCCTCGTACCCGCGATCGAATCCTTTCGGTCATTACCCAAAGCTCATTAACATAGGTGAGGGTGGGAATGTAAATCAATCTGTAAACCGCGAGCTTTGTTCGAGAACTCAGCTCCTGCTTAACTACCACGAAACGGTACAGTGCCCGCAGATGTGAAATTATTATATTTCAGTTGCCATTGGCGTGTGTTTAATCCTTCGTTGGAACTGCCGTTTGTGTTTTGTAGCTCACAACAGCGCTCGTAAAGGCAATGGGCAGTACAAACATGTCCCTCAATAGCGCAAGCGCGATTTTGCAATACACTCGTGGTCTGAGCCAGATGGCAGAGTATTTTACAAACGATGATCAGGTATGCACCGCCGTGATACACCACACATTTGCAACAACCAATATTCTTGCTACATTTTATTGAATAATATGTATTTCTCAGTTATACACAAACTGTACGAAAACATACCATAAATTTTAAGTTATTCATAATCCCATTTTCCATCATTATATCACGGTTAAATGAGTACATAATGATAGTTTAAGACTCAAGAAGATATGTTGGTAGTTTGCAACGATCAAATACTATCCCCCATAGTATACGTGTATTTGTTTTATTGTCATTGTTTGCTTGACGTGTTTCAGAATGTTTTGTTGGGAAGTGTTACCAAAGCACTGGAGAGCATGGATAGTCTGACAACTGGGAAAAGATCCGTAATGAAAGTAACCAAAGGTAATGTAAACAATAATAACACTGGTCAACAAAAAAACTTTTTTTTCTGGCCTGGACTTTTGCAGCTGTTTTAGACTAATTTCAGGGTGCTGATTCCAAATCTGATCTCAGATTTGCTCTATCACATTTAATTTTTCATTGATTTTACCCGAAATTAACTCTGTCACTTATAATTGCAAGTTGTTGCGAGTCAGTGACTGCTTTAGTGTTAATATATGGTGCTGTATTTTTAGGATAGTGTGTTTATAATATCATTTTATGTAGATATCCACATCTATTTAATATTTTTCTTCTGCAGTTTTTATTGAAAATGCAATATTTGATATCTAAACAACCTGATGTGATAGACAAAAACTGATGCCAGATTTGGAATCAGCACCCCAAAATTACCTTAAAACCGTTGGAATACCTTATGCCAGAAATGGTGTGTTGACCAGTGTAATGTACTGCCGCATCATATTTGTATACACAGATATTAAACGATCAAAGCAAAGTGCAGTAAAAATGTGCACAATGACTACTTATCCAGTTAAAATATTACCATATTTCACTATTTGCGTGGACTTTCTTTACGACTTAAATGTACCGTAACTGTCGACACAGAGGCAGATACCCTTTGATGAATACGATTCGAACAATATTTTTGCGAATGCTTTCTTTTCATTTCACGAGGCTTATCTATCTTTCCATTGGCAGATGCTTTCTCCGTGTGCACAGCGGTAATCGAGAAAATGCTTGCAGAGCAAAGTAGCTTGGACAGAAATAGGACAAAGAGGTCCTCAGCTTACACTCAGGCGGTACGTATTGCTCATGAAGTCTGGATATCCATTGAAGTTATTTTTTACACGTTTGCTTTTTGGAATCGTATCCAGATCATATGCTATTTGTTAAGCGGTAATGTTGACCTGTTCTGCAAGCTATTGGTATTAAAAGCCTCGAGCAGCTGCTGTGCAGTCTCATTATCACGAGGAGCTTTGTGGGATTTGCCTTGGCTTGCAAACTGAACCCGCTTCGTCACTGCACAGCTGCGCTATGCTGACTGGAAGAAAAAAATAATCTACTCGTGCCGGTCAATCAAACAAGTGACCAGTAATTAAGTGAACAACTTTAAAAGCTATAGTGTCATTCATGGAATGCATTGTGATATTCTTTGTGATATTTGCCTATCAGCTGGTTTTGAACATTTACTTGACAAAATTCTTGCCACCCTATTCAGTTGCCCCCTATAAAATAATCTCTCAACATATAAAATATATGTAGTTTTACCCATACTATCAGCCCCATGGCCTTCTGGGAGTGCACAATGTCAGCAGCATTGATTAAGTACAAACAAACTTGAGACCCATTTTGACATAGCATCTCTTCAGTAATCAGGCTTTCTTGAATCAATACTGGTAAACTACCAGATTCAGTCATCGGCAAGGACCATCTTTTTAAGATGTGTTTTAGTACTGTAAAATGTACTGCATTTATTAGATTGCTATGTTAGTGTAGTTTTCATTTTAACCTCGTGCATTTTCAGCTTAGTGTCTGGCATTATTTTGGGCAAAGAATAGCCCTGTGTTTAGCAGATACAACTTTGTACTGAAATGCATTGGCAGACACGCAAACTGTCATGTTTTATAAATTAAACATATTTTTTTTATTGCTGGGCATCTCTGAAACTACTGGGCATCTGTGAAACTACTGGGCATCTGTGAAAAAGAGCTTCATAGTTCATCAGATTTCTCCATGATGAATTGAGATTGGGATTCTGATCCTTGTGATACAATTGTACTATTTTATTCCAGTGTCACCATGCAAGTTTTAAAATGTTATGATGCAGCAAATAAAAAATAGTGAATGACTAATTTAGTATTAATACAGCACATCTTATCCTTATGAATAGCTGAATGTTTTTAATAAACAATAGGCAACGTGTAAGTTTGCCGTTCCAGAAAGATAAAAAAAAACATTTTGTTTTTAGGTTTTCCTCGCTTTAAGCGAGTTTGGTTTGTGTGATTTCGTGAATATGCGGCTAATCTATTTCTACCTAAAATTTGCGATATGTGATTTGAATTCGCTCAAATACGGATATGTGGTCGGACGTGGGACATTGCTTGTGTACTGCGTGCACTACTCGGCAGGCGGCTGTCTCGTGCTGTTTCGCTTTGTGCGCCCTTTTTTTGGAATACATCTATGACTGCCGTATAAAGCGAGAGGAAACAGCGTATAAATTAATGACATATATAACCATTTATTTGATATTTAGGCATAATGGTAAAAGTACTCTTCTTGCCACACAAAAAGATTGACCCTTGCCGTAATCTGCACCGCATATTTATGTTAAATATTAATTGTTTTTCTCAGTATACACTCTTTGACAGTGTTTACCAAACAATGCTTTTGCTGGGAACGCTGCAAAACAAGAAGTCCGAACCTGGTGAAAAAGCAGTGGGTCTCAGCTCAAGGTCTGTGTCCACAACAACCCAGAAGGTCACTGGCCATAAATTATTCAACTCATCGTGGGAGACACAAGATGGGAGCAGCGCTTCTCTCTTTCCAATGAATGATACTAAACAGTCTACAACACCTACCATGAAAATGAATGTGCAGGTAAACATGCAAATGTTGTGCTTTATTTGAATACTTTAGATATTACTTTCATAAATTACAAGGCCCAATATTTAGAGCACGTACATTTTAGAATTATACATATTTGGCCAAAATATTTTTTCGTGAAAATTGAAATGGCCAGTTCCAATCGTGCCTGGTGCATTTCTAAGTGCTCCCCATTTGGCTAGAAAAGTCAGAATTACATTTTGCAATTGGCTGTCCTTTAAGTGTGTGATTTAGAAATATATCCTTGTCAGCCTGCCTAGAACAGTGCGCATATTGAGTATATATTTGATCTGTGATTAGCAGACTGCTTTGCGATCCATGTCATCTGGACCTGATTGCGGGCCATGCACACCCGGGGGCCTGCAGGTATCCAAACTTGGCTTGAGACAGAGTTTTTTTTCATGATGGAATAATTCAAATATACATCTTCGTTTAATAACAGAAAATTAAAGATGTATTTTTAGTAGATCACGACGTTTCGATCGCAACACAAGCAATTGTCATCAGTTGAGACAACCACAGCAAGAAAAAACTGCTGTGGTGGTCACACCTGGTGACGATTGCTTGTGTTGTGATCGAAACGTCGTGATCTATTATTTTTCTACCTACGTGACTTTACCGAAAGAACCAAAGAGTATGGATTCCTGCAGTCACGAAAGCTTTAAATCAAGAATGTATTTTTAGATTTGTTGTCCACTTAATTGTCTGTTCAGAAGCAGAGTGGATCTCGTCCATTCCTCCTTTGAAGGAGTTAAGACAGCAGCGGAGTATTTACAATGCGGTCGATGGTTTGAGATTCCGTGGCCGCACTCGTCGAATCTTTGATGCACCATTTATGCATTGGGAGGCCTCTTCGGTCATACCCGGTCCCGATTTGGTCGATGGTCGACCATTGGCGGCGTGGAAGGTTGAAACGGGGAGGTTCGACAGTAGGGTCCTGTATGAGATCTTTATTTTTGACATTGGCCGCAGTCCAGGCTTGTTTTCATCTCTCGCCTTCATTTGTAGTTGTGGTGTGGAGTATACTTACTGATGATAATTAACTGAAAAGAAACAGCTGGCTATTTATTTAAATACATTTGAAATAAATGTTGACCAAATAACTGTTACAATTATACACTGTATAATAAACGTATTTGTTGTATCTTTTAAAGATATCTGCTTTCAAGGAAAATCCATTTGCATGGAATAAAGATTCTCCTGTGAACAGTTCAGTCGTCAGCCTGCAAGTGAGCGGGGAAAATAAAAATGTGAACACGTTCACTTTGATGACGGTTAGAAATCATAAAATTTCAGGACCTGAAATAAACTTTTTAGTAGAAACAAATAACGTTTCAGCCTGTAAATCGTTTATCGTTAAGGACGGTGGCTTTGCAATAATAGTAGACATTTCAAATTCTCGTGATGTCAATGGCAGACTGGACTTATATTTACGTTACAATCAAGCCCCAGCGGTTGACCTTCCAGAATTTGATTTTCACTTTGCCATGGAGTCGAGAGAAGCGGCAAGGAACAAACAACGACGTGAAGGAACAGGTGATTCTGTGATTCAGACAGAGACATCATTTTTCATCCCTAGCAATGAAACCGATGCTGGGATTTATTATATTTTACTCAAGAATACTGGTAAGGCGTGCCTAACACATTTAATGCATGTTTTATTGAGCAAATGTGCTGTATATATATTAAAACACCTGCTCCAGGCTGGATGACGAGAGCACTTGGGGATCACTGCTGAAATCCTGCATATGAATCTCATGCTACCTTTCCACCTTGATTTGGCATAGGTGCTTGGGGTGGTTCATTTTGGACCCAAGAGCAACCCCCCACAAGCCATGAGGCTCCGTGGGTTCAGCCACGCCCTTCATTCCCTCACCCCACCCTGACCCCCTCCCTCACAACAATCCCTACAAGCAATTGTGATCTTCATACCACTTTTTTAAAAGTGTTAATATTAGCTTGGGTTAGGCTATGCTATCCCAAACTCTTCCGTTGTTGTAACCTTTCTGCTGTGTATTTTAAACGAACACATGGCTCTGAGCATGCACTCTGAGAGGGATGCCAATGAAGGATGCATCTGTTTCCGTGTCGAGCCCGTGACATCGCAACTAGTTTGGAGCGGCAGTCCAAGTAACAGGAATTGGCACCTCTGATCGGGTGGGAGGCATTTATTTGTACACATGGTACTGGTATTGTATTGTGCTGAACTCTTATCACAGTGTACAGCACAGTTTTGCTAGACCTGTTCTGACTTGAGACGTCCGGGTTTGGTATGCCAAAAAGGTGGCTAACCTGGTCACAAATGATAGCACAACATACAATTATACTTTATTTATATAAGTCAAGCCCAGCTCTGAGAGATTATCTGTCAGATAGACACAAATGTCACTCGTGTACAGCTTGAGAGAATTGCAGTGGATAGATAGGATATGCTCTTGAAGAATGTTGATTTAAAAATTGTTTTTCTTCAGTTTTTTACATTTTAAAATGTTATTTTTTCATGAGGTTTCACAATGAGAAAACACCCGAATCTTTACCTAGATGCTAGCAAGACATATGTTAACTTATGCTTAATATTCTTTATGCTCTTTGGCAGGAAATGAAACTGAAGGCAATGCCACAAATGTGAAAGTCAGAATATGGACAACTGCCTGCAAAGTGTGGGATGATGTTAATGGCCAGTGGAATTATGACTTGGCACAAGTACGTGTTAATGAATTAAACAGTGACACATTAGAGCCCTTTGTCACTCCACTGCTGGATGCATGTTGAACTTCTTTCTCACCGTACGTAGCCAACCATGGTAGTCGGAGGTGCCGGAGGAGGACAACAACCTAAGGCCTTCGCACATGCTGTGATGGTCATGGGAGTTGATTTGACTGTACCTCATCACACTGGCCAGTGGTTGAAGTATGGTGGAATAGAATGGGCAGTGTGGGTGGGGAAAGGGGCAGGACCATTTCCAAAATTATCTGTCACTGTGGCCAGGAATACAAATGAGGTCGCTGGTTTAATAGCCAATGCACCAGGGTGGAGTGGGTGGTTAGTGCATTCGATTCCCTGTCACAATGAACACAAGCGAGGAACGATGTGTCAATCAATCACGAGCATGACTTGAGGTCATCCAGCAGTGGCCTGAGAAGCGCTGAAATATCTGAAAAAAATTACACCTAACAAGCGAAAATACTGTTTGTTTAAAAACAAATGAAGTGGTACATGTTCTGTTGGAAGTTTTATAGAGTGGAATTCCTCTTTCAAAGAGCTTCAAAGGCAAACTAATGAGCTGAAATAAAAAAATGACATAACCAAAAAACTTCCACTTTATCTAAAAGTGTCAAACTATTGTAAATACATTTTGACAGGCGCTTTGTGTCATTTACACTGCACATGATAATTAACTTGGTAATCAATATTAAAGCCATATTAAATAAAAATGCCAAAACGTGTACTTATTAATGTTTTTGAATAATGGAAAAGGTGCATTCTAGCGCCACCGTAAATGAAACAGTCTGTGTGATACAGAGCACCACCAAAACGAACGGACTGCATTCACAACAAGGTTAAAAGAGTATCGTTGAATCAAATCACAACCAAGAATTGTGATGCGTGTAACAAATCACGAGATGCCGACTTATTTTATCTGTTTCCAGTACTTAAAACAAAAATATACACGTAATCCTTTTCGTGTCATCAGCTAGTTGAATGTATTGGATTAATGACTCATTCACATTGAAGCAATCATTTTTGTTGTAAATTAATTTGTAATGGCTTCACCTTGATATTCCTTACACAGGTGCACCCGAACTCCACAATAGATAGCACTGTTTGTGTGGTTGGTGGAGGTCACAAGGCCACCACAACGAACGCCGGTCGCGAGCGAGTCTTCGTGGCGGCAGAGGTGTTGGCCCCAAACACCATCGACTTCTCGACGGTGTTCACGAAGTTTGACCTGGTGTCAAACGGCGCCGTGTTTGCCACTGTAATTGTGATCATCTTGCTCTATCTCATAATGCTGCTGTGGGCAAGGAAGGCAGACATCAAGGATAACGAAAAGGTAACTGGCATGGTATCATTGTAAACTTATTTTATTTGTTTAGTATGCATAGTGGCCTTTTATGACGACGGAGAGGGTTGACTTGAGGCAACACGGATTTATTACAGATAACTTCAAATACAGCAGAGTAGTACGACCCTGACACTCGAAGAGGTAATGGCTTCTTCACCCGTTCTATTGAGGGAAGTATCCCCCAAGTTAACACCCCACGTTAACTCCCTACGTCCCTCTATTCTAGACCTTCACAAGGAGGCTAACTGACTTGGCTCAGCTTTGGCACAGGTCTTGACCACCAGCCACACGAGTCCGGCCCTTAGAAGGCCATCAGCCCTCGCGGCTCTGGGGTAGCACCACTGGCTTGCTCTGCCCGGCCTTCAAAAGGGCAGCAGGTCAGGAGTCCCTGGGTCTATCTAGCTAGACTTCAGTCTTCACTGGTTCTTCGTCTTGACTTGGGTCGAACTCTTTCTTTGTTCTCCGGGTCCCACCTTTTATACGATTTCCCACTGAGGGCGGGTTTCTCTGGAATCACAGAGACCCCCCAGCCCCCTCCCCTCAGGAGGCCCTGGGCGTACATCACACCAACTGCCCAGAACAGGTTTGTACCGCTTCCCACAGAGAGGCGGGGCTCTGTGGAATCACACGCACCCCCACAGCCCCCTTCCCTCAGGAAGCCTGGTCAGAGATGACACAATCACTTACACCGGTAAACATTGTAAGTCGGCCGGTTTGGTGTGTGCGTGCTTCAACATCACCACCACTTATGCATAAACTAAAATAAACTACTTTTAGCTTCCATCATAGAGGTTTTCTTGGTTAAATCACGTAAATATAAAGGTAAGGTCCACTGAGCTCTACAGAGACTCCTCTACTTACGAACGAGTTAGGTTCCAGAGGTCTGTTTGAAAGTCAATTTGTTCGTAAGTCCAACTTTAGTCCTGTTGATTCCAAACATGTTGTATGGCATGTACACTAAACACGGAAAATGGCTTTAAAAGTTGTATAATCTGTAGATGCCACTGGTTCTTCATGTTCTGCAGATGCAGATGCCACTGGTTCTTCAATTTTCTGGAGATGTATATGCCACTGGTTTTTCATGTTCTGCATATGTAGATGCCACTGGTTATTTATGTTCTGCAGATGGAGATGTTAATTCCCTTTGGTGCTCGTGTTTCCTCTCTACTCTCTTGAAAAACTGAAGAAATGTCTGCACAGTTGCTCTCTTCTTCTATTCATAAATAAATTTGTAATAGGCAATAGCATCATGAACAGCTGCTGACACCTTCGTAATCCTTTCAGTGTTTGGATCCATACCCAGCATTGCCAGCAGAAATGCTGCGAATGCTGGGTAATGATACCGAACTTACGATTCTCGGTCTGAACATGCATCTGGACATAGTTCGTAAGTCGAATGCTCGTAAGTAGAGGAGTACCTGTATAGCACTTTTTTACAAGCGACCTGGTCAAAAATTATATTTCAACGAAGTGGCTTATCATATGAAAATTTATAACAGCCAAATACTCTAAATGCATGCTTATAAATGTGGAAGAAAAAACTGGAGGACCCGGAGAAAAATCCAAGCGACCATGTGGAGAGAGACATGCAAACTCTAAATATACAGGCATTAGGGTTGGGTTCGAACCCACGATCCCATTGACACATAAAATAGTTACAGTATAAGACATTTAATTGATTGCTTATGTTTTTGCATCTTATTGCGTAATGTGATATATTAATTTCGCAGAACAGGATGTTCTTTCTGTTCGACGTGGACGATGAGAACCAGTGCTTGCTCGTGCTACGAGTGGCCACAGCGAAACGACAGGATGCGGGCACGCGCTGTGGGGTCTGCTTCACCCTCTACTTTAAAGAGTTCGACACGGGGATACGAGAGCTCGCTCACCCAGAGATAAAGGTGTGTTTGGATCACTGCATGGCCGTAATTATAATATATATTGGGACACATCCCCCACCAATATTCAAATATGCTCAAAATGTCCCCCCCAATATATTACTATCAACAATATATATAAAAATGTTTGCTATGCTATGTAAACGAAAAAAAAAAAACAATTTGCTAAACCTTGGCCACAATATCTGGACTTGTCTTCATATAACAATGCATAGATTTCTGTTCATATGATTGTGGTTGTACTTTATTAATCCCTAATCTCTGCCATTACATACAATGAAACAAGAAAAGGTAAAACAGAAAAAACAGAGCAATGTAATACAATACACTATTAGACATTATTGTAAAAAAAAAGTCCATCCCATGTGTTAGTGATTTTTTAAAATATTTTAGGCAGGAAATTCGTTTTCAAATTTAGATGTTTTTTTCTGGGGGGGGGACGCCTAGACCCCCTGGAAGATTTGCCCCCCCCCCCCCAATGTTGACTCCATGCTTACGGCCTTGGATCACTGAGTGGCCAGTGTAGAAAAAAACTGAAAATTGTCCTGTGTTGGCCTGTATAGTCCCGGTTAGGAAAAGGCTGTCCTGGTGAGTAATTTGCAAACATTGGGATGTTGTACTGGTTGAGAATTTTCTGGCCTCATGCTTGACAAATTATAGGGGAAAAAAGTGGGGCCTACAAGCTGTAGGCAGGGCCACCAACAGAAAGGTTGCGGCCATTCGCTGTAAGGGGGGGGGGGGGGGGGTGGTGCTAGTGGTTCAGTGGGCGTGGCTGTAAGTGGGCATGGCAGCTCGTTTCTCCCTGTTTGGGAGTTTGTAGCCAACCATGGGCTCAAATGACCTTCAAGCCTAAAATTGCTAGAGCACAATAAACATGTTCGATGTTCATATTCTACATTATCCATCAGATATAAAGATTACATATAAAAGTGGGCTGATATCTGTTGATGTTGTTAACATTCTAGATTGATTGCAACGTAATAATGAAGTATACCCTTTCAAGTTGTAAATGTGGTGCCGGATGATAACGCTGTCGTGGATGTTAGCAATGCCATGGAGGGAAGGCCAATTCCAATTGGCTATACCGCTCATAACGCTTGGAGCCACAACAGCAGCCAAATAGGGGCGCTGGATGGGTGTAAGGGGCTGGTAACCCCTCCACCTTCAATTTAACTACCACTAAACGACGTGGAAAAAAATCTAACTAAGACCTTTATTATGGACGCATGTATTCAAACACTTTTTTTGACAGAATATGATAAAACCACCCCTCAGGGGAATTCTTACATTTTGTTGAACATTTACAATTATGTACCATCTTGTTAACAGGAGTTTAAAAGAGACAGCATATACAACTTCCTCTTCTCTGTGCCAAAAAACTATGGGTACCCACTGGATGTTAAACTGTGGCTCAAAGATGCAGATTCCTTTGACTGTTTGTTTGTCAGTGAAATCTCGGTACTGGACCTAGAAAAGCAGCAAGTGTAAGTATAGTGCAACACCACAAATTGTATAATTACACTAACTGAAAGACACCATGCGGTAATCAAATTCACTTAATAAATTAACAAAAATTACGCATCAAAGTGTTACCTGTTATTATGTTTTTGCACGAGGCATGATCAAAATATTGTGATTAATTTGCAAACTCCAACCATACTTTTATCTTTAGCCCTTCATACATGAGCGCAAGTTAAACATCCGTATGGGACAAGTGTTTCCGCCTCGCATGCGCGGGTTTTCTCCAGATGCTCTGGTTTCCTCCCAAATGTAAACACTCATTAATGTGCTGATAACACCTTAGTATATCGAGAACCGCAGAACTCGGGTAATTGTCGGCATTGGATCATAGTGTGGCTGCTGTCTTCCCGTTCGTCTGTGGTTCTGTCTCGCGCCTCTGAGTCATTCTCTATTTTCAAGAGTGCGCATTACAAGTTTAAATTATTATTTCTAGATTTGAAGTTATCGTGACTGCAAAGATCCACACTCTTTGGTTCTGTTGGTAAAGTCACGTAGGTAAAAAAATAAAATAAAAATTAAACTAAAAAAATATTATTATTAAACATGTTAGCTCTCAAAACGTGGCGATTGTATTGGCAATGTTACAGGTAGGAACAACAGGTTCCACACTGCCCACCAGGGATTATTTGTCTGTCGTGCATACCACGGCCCCGCCCCACCAGAGCCCTCCCATTGGCTCAGGGGCGCCGAATACAATTATTTAATTAATCGAGCTCGCGGGGTTTCGCCGACCAATGGGAGCGGTGGGTTGGGGTTGGTAGAGGGGGGGTTAGTGGTGGGGGGGGGGGGGGCACCGCCGCGACTCGGGCCAATGAGGAGATAGGTGATGTTTCATTCACAAAATGGAACTGGGGGAGGGTGGCTCCATTCATAAAATGGAAGCCTTGAAAATAAAAAGGCGGATCTTTTTCCTCGTGTTTCTTTCAACATTCCCAGCCTTAAGGTGATTCAGTTTGTCCAAAAAAGCAAATGCATTACTTGTAAAAGATAAAACTAATTAATGCATTTTAGGTTAACATGAAGCATATAAATTAACTCCCCCCCACCCCAATAAAAAAAATACTTTACGGAGTATTATATGACAATGCATATTACAGGTCGGAACAACAAGTTCCACACTGCCCACCAGGGATTATTTGTCTGTCTGTCGTGCATATTTGTCTGTTGTGCACGAATGCGCTATCCAACCAAGTTCCTACCTGCCCACTCCGAAGGAACATGTTTTTCCATGCTTTTACAGCCTTGTTGCCTAGCAATGCTGCCGCAAGGCTGCATGAGAGTAAAGATGTATTGTTCACTTCCTGGTTTTTCAAGCATAATAAAATACATTGCAGCTGCACTCACTGTAATAAAGTACAGCTGTATAACTTCAGCTCCTGCAGAAAAGGCATATTCCTGTTATGTACTTGTGCAAAATAGAATCACAACTTAGTTACAAAAATATTCATTCAGCGCCGTTATAAAGAATGTTAATAACAATATAAATTACGCCTCCTCCCCATATTTGTCGGTTTACATAAAATTATATAATTGTGCATTTGTATCAATTGTGAGGTAAACAAATATCGTGCTGCCCTGCCCTTAGCAAGTGTTGTGCTGCTCTCTTCCTGTTTAAGTGATAATAAATATGCATGAGTTCAGCGAATACAATTATTTGTATAAAATACATTTTAACAACTGCTGCTTGTGATGATATGACATATTAAAAAAGTTTAATGTGAAATCATGATTCAAATAATTCAGGTAAATGGCCTGTCGGTGCCAGTGAGCATGACTTCATGAGGTCAGCAGATGCAGTACAACTTTTATAACCTGCTAGCCACGTAAAAACGAGCATTCATGGGCTCAAACCTGAAATGATTTTATTTTCTCATGTAAAACATGCTCTTACCACTCACTGTTCATCGACAGGCATTTCTTTTGTGTGAATTCAATGGAATCATCGGACATGATCATAGGGCATTATGGAAAGATATTTCAGGTAAAAAATGATCACTTTTCATTCAACAATTCATGGATGGTCCATGAAGCACTTAAGGGAAACTTTTCTGAAGGTCATCTCTGGTGAGTAAAAGCCATAGAAGACGATAGTGGTATATGTGAGACGCCTTTCTTAATTGTTTTTTACAAGGTTATTAAGTTAACATTAAGACATGCTTGTTTAAAACTACTTTGGAAGATCATTAAAATATATGAATACATCTAGGAATGCTTTCTTTTAGTAAAGTTTGTTTCTGTTCTGGCAGGTTTTCCGTTTTCTTTCGCCCATTCAAGACCAACTTCTCCCGCGTGCAGCGCATCTCCTGTTGCGTTACGCTCCTCTTCCTCATGATGATCGCCAACGCCATGTGGTTCGGCAAGAAGCAGGCAGCCAACGAGGCGGGAGGCGGGGTCGCGGTGGGGCCGCTGTCTCTCACCGACGTCCTAATCAGCCTCCTCGGCAGCCTGGTGGAGGTGCCCGTCAGCCTCGTGGTCGTGCTCATATTCCGCAACAGCCGCTCAGAGAGCGAGCGGCCTCCAGGCCAGAAGAGCTCCTGGAGGGGCCCTTGGCCCGGTGGCTGCAGATTCGTGGGTTGGTGTCTCATAGTCCTGACTGTCCTGAGCTCTGGCTTCTTCACGATCCTCTACAGCATGGAGTGGGGCTCAGAGAAGGCCAACCGCTGGCTCTTCCGATTCCTCTTCTCTTTTGTCTTGTCAGTCATACTGATTCAACCCATGAAGGTAAAATGGTGAATAAAGTCACATGCCCCATTCTGAAGCGAGGTGATGTAATATTTTGGATGATTTACAAGACAGTTTTTTTATTGACATCAACATATTAAATATTTACAAGGTGTCCTAGTGATGCACGCCTCTAGTTCAGTAATCAAGAGTTAGCTCATGCGTATTTTAAGTGGGAGTTCGGCCTTGACCCTATCAGCAGCACATCGGGGTCAATCTGCAGGATGATTGCTCAATGTTGGATATGGGGGAAGAACACATGGACAGTTCGGGAGGAAAGCAGCGGGGTTCATCTGCCATCGTTGGGTTAGAGTCGGTGTTATCTTGAAACTTTATATTAGAGGGCATATTTATTGTTGCGATGTCCTCTATTCAGAGGGCTGGTGGTATGTAGAACCTCCCACCACTTATATATGTCCTCTGCCAGTCTCATTGAAAGATTTAGTACGTTTCGTATTGGAGCTCTGAGGACATGTACAGATGGTTTGAGATGATCCGGTCCCATTTTTTGGGGGGAAAGTCAATGGAGGAAAATATTTCTCACACAAAGTACACAGCCCTCAACTGTACTATATTTTACTTCTTCAAGTAATTTTCAGGGATGATTTGTCTTACATATGTTAAAGTTTGAATTGGAAGTACAGGCAGACCTCGCTGAACCTGGGGGTTACGTTTCGGGAAAATGCTGTATTGACCAAAACCGTGTTCGACAAATAACATGCCTCATGGGGAAAATAGGGTTGTGTTCCTTGGTACGAAATGATCACCCACTTCCTCTTTGTTTGACAAATTATGCACAATTTCCGCCATTTTTATTGTTCTACAGGATGCTGAGTCGCTCTCCATTTCGTGTGTATAAAATCTTTATTTTTCAATTTAACCTAAACACAAAACCCGCATCTCCATTCCTCTTCCTGCATCGCGGCACTCACACCCAACACTCGCCCCTAACACTGCCACTTGAAAGTCAATGTTTCGCCATCTAGGCGTCTTTCTCATGTCCTGAACAAGTGGACGGCTAAATGCATGGGGAAATAAGGGTATATTTGCTTGTGTCGTTGTGTGTGTTGAGTGTGGCCTCAAGGTGCACATGACCTGGCACAAGCGTCGTCGTGACGTCACCGCCACTTAGTGGCGAATGGCGGTTGTTGTTGAGTGTTATATTATCACCCAAAAACAAACGCACGAAAAAACATGCACGATAAATAAATCGTTCTCAGAGTCGATTGATTCCCACCTTCCAAGGGATGCAGCACTCTCACGGCACTACTTTGTCGACACGGAGATGAGAATATTTCATTCAAACTGTATAGAGCCGAAACATGACCCCAATATTCCGGAAAACCTTCCTCATTAGGTACACCATGTAGAGCCGAGACACACGGTCGATAAAGCCGCGTTGGGCAAGGTTTTCCAGCACATATAATAAGGTAAAAACATTAATTGTTCACTAACTTGATTTTTCTTTCATCATCAAATAACTTTTTCAACCCCCGTGCTGTGAAATGCATTGTTTAATACTGTGAGGTGTCCATTGGAGCTCGCAAAATGTTTTTTGCATGTTCATATGTGACTGTAACTTACGCATTGTGTGCATTGCAGAATATCGTGTTTGCTGTGGGTCGAGTTTTAATGTGGAAAAAGAATGAAAAATATCAAGCAGACGAGATATTAAAACCGTACACGGAGAGTTATGAAATAATGGACAGCGCTGGAAAAGAAAAACTGCAAACCAGCAATGTACAGGGCAAGGAAATTGCAATCTTTGTGACATGCTCATGGAAGAGAGCCATATAAGCCGTGTTGCAAATAATGCTCACAATATACACACCAATAGACATCCTTCAAAAGCAATATATATTAACACAGTACTTAAAAAAATAGCATTTGGAATACGACATTTTTTACTGAGAATATATTTAAATGTTCAAGTTGCTTAAAGAACATTATAGAATGTGTCACAAAGAATGTATTTCCTCCCAACAGAGAAGTCTTCTCCAATCCCAAGACAAGGTGCTTCCGAAAGTAAAAGACAAACGTGTCTCAAACCGACGCACGTTTTACGCGCTCTGTACCTCGTGGCGCTGCTGTTAGCTGAATGCTTAATTATAGGAGATTATACAAAGTCTCTTAAAACTAATGTAGAGAAAACCTTCATCGTGGGAAAATTTGGAAAGGTAACAAAAATGCATTTCATAGTCACTCATAACACTTTTTTTCAGTATGTGTAAATACACCTGTCAGTCTAATTTTCTTTCATTGGGCACGTTAGTCTAACACGTTGATGAACTTCAGAACGTAGCGGCCCTCTGTAAATTTCTCTCTCGCCAATCACATGTGAGCGGTGGGTTCGTCATCACATTAAGCCAAGCGCGATGGGGTCCAACCAACTTGCGCTGAGCCACCTTCGCAAAGCATTGTGCTCGTTGTGGCACACATCACCCTCCCCCTGCTCCCTGGTATGCCTGCTGACAGCACCATTGATGGCTGGCCTCCATAGCTACCAGCATGGTAGCAACATGTCACCGTTAAACATATTTCTTTAGAACTAATTTTTGTGTTGAGTTTGTTGTCCCTCCCTCGCACCTCCGATTAGCACGGTTGGCTGCATAAGGTGCGAATGAAGTTCAACATACATACATAAAGGGTCTGGTGGACCAAGGATCAGGGTGAGCAGGTGCTGGGTGCGCGGCTAGGAGCATGGCCGTGTCTGTGGGACACCAAGTGTGAGACCCACAGTGGATGCGCCACCATCTTATGCCTTGCTGTCAATCCCTGGTGCCGCTTCCAACTAGCTCAGAGCCAGCACGACTTTGCGATGCATGGAGGTGGTGTGGGCTGGCATGGGAATCTGTAGAGTGTGCAAACTCTCATCCGTACGCTGTCAAATAACTGTAGCCATCCAAACTTTAGCAGCGGACAACGTAGAATGGCAATGACAAGACTCGTAAATTATCTTCCTGGCAAGATATTGATTCTGCCCATTATATATTTACCCTTACAGCAAACTTGCTTTAACAATAAATATACAACGAAAATGCACAAATCTTACAAACGATATCGCAGGCACTTAGATATACAGGTATACGTCGGTTTACGAAAGGGATGTGTTCTTAAAAAAACACGTAAAACGAAATTTAGTAAATCGGAATGGCTATTCCCATTAATTGAATATTAAAAATGAGGCATGTGTTTCAGACAGTCATTTCAACTCTACTCCTAACCTAAAAATGTACACCTATATACATTTTCACAATGAAAAAATATGAATAATAAAGAACGTAATATAAACAATTGAATAATAATTTTAATAAAAAATAATTAACCTTTTCACGGAACTCACCAAAAGATCTGCTGCATGTTGGAATGACTGGAAAGGCGATGTGGAGGCGTTACTGTTGCACTGCAGGGACACCGTGACGCTGTCGCCGATGGATGATGCAGTCTCCTGGGTGGCTCTTGTTTGATGATCTCGTGGCACGTGCCGTGATTAACTTTCGTTAATTGAAAAGTGCCCATCATTTGTCAATTGCGTTTATGCAAAATTTAGTGAATCGAACGTTCGGAAATAGATACCTGTACATAATATGAAAAACAAGAATCGGTTTTACCATTTCTGGCGATAAAACAGGTGTTAAAATGTTTAAACACCGAATAGAAATATTTTTAAATATATGCATGTTTGTTTGCACGTTCACCACAACCACATTTGGTTAATGCGAACTTGATTCCTTGCAAAAGGTTTATGTTTGGTGTTTGAACATGTTAACACCTGTTTTATTTCCAGAAAGGGTCAAACATATTCTTGTTTTTTCATACTTTGATACTGACAAAAAGGTCCTACCTGCACATAAGCCGTGAGAATTATTTGCTAACTTTTATACCAATTCAGTGGACACGTGAAGATTGCACATTGAACGAACGCATGCTGTTTGTGCATTAAGGTTACCGATGCCCAAAGCTACTGGGACTGGGTGTCCAACTCACTCTTGCCGTACATGAAACAAACCGGCAGCAGCGCGACTACGAGCGAAGCTCCTGGAAACGAGATGAATCGCTTTCATTTATGTATTGTTGGGCTTGTACGTCTGCAACAGCTGAGATACACCAAGGGTAAATTTTTACTATTAATTATGCTAACAGTATGGTTTACTTTGGTTTTCTATGTAACAAGGACATGTCTCAAATGGCTATCATGAGGTGTTAATGCTACTACATTAAAAATATAAGTATGAAAAAAAACTGCTTATTATATCACGAAGGCTTTCGCGACCTATATTCATCATAAAGGTTTTTGTGCTAGATCCCATAAGTACATTTATATTCACCCGATCTTACCCAAAATCCTTTATGATGAGGCTTTATTACATCTTACTAATGAATATAAAAGTACTTTTCATTAATTTTGTTTGAAATCACTTATTTCTATGGATTACTTAATTGTGTGGGTGATAGTCATGTAACTTTGAGGTTTGATGATAATTATTATAATATATGTTCTGGATTGTATTTGCAACAAAAAAATAATTTTCAAATGGAAACGTTGTGCAAAGAAAATAAATGTCTTGATAGGAAAGTATGGAAATACCATTTGTAAGGCATCGGAGTATTGAACTTTGTTGATATCAGAATTCAGTCACAGGTTAATCTTCAAATTACTGACGTTTTGAAATATTGCCGCATTAAAATTTGGAAAATATCATTTGGATGATACCAGATAATGGGCACCTCCACTGCAAGTTCAACTCCTGAGATTATTTTCCAACTTAAAATATACAAACGAGTATAAATGTAACCGATGATCTATTTCTATGTTAGGATCGAGTAAGCTGAATTTTGTGGCAATGTTGAAAAATGGTCAGTACATTCCACCTGAAGAAGACACGAACAACTATTCAAAAGCCTGGGTGATGTCCAATAGTACGGGTGGAGCCGAGAGAGACCAATACTGGATATTCAAGGATATGGGAGAAGAGATCATCTCAATGAATGGTGGTAAGACCACACACTCAAATGCCATTATTTATAAGCACAACAAACATTCACTCAAAACCGTGATTATCTCATAACAGTCACCACTGTTGGATGGTATCCTTCCCACACCATTGCCATTCCACACAATCTCTCGATGCCACAATTCGTCTCGTTGCTCTATCTTCACGGCGATGCTCGTTGCTCTATCTTCACGGCGGTGCTCTCAGGCAAATTCGCTCCATTGGGTGCCATTCTGTACCATGGCACGTTTGGCACCCAAACGTGCCATGGTCATCATCAACTTGATGGACAAACAAGAAGAAGAAGTCTCGACCACTGGTCATCGTCGCTTGTAGCAATGTAGCGATGTTTTCTGTCGAGCTGACTTTTTCTTAGCAGTCAGTGTGATGTCTCTGATCTGCGTTTGTTTTCTTGATTCACGTGCTCCTCTTTCCCTCGCTCAGTGTAATTGCAAGCGTTCAATTCTCAGAGCTTCTTTGCCCACTTTTTCAACTTTTGTGTCCAATGCCTTTGTCAATGTCCATGTTTTTGATCCATTTATCATCACAGATAATATTAATTGGTCGTACACCTTCTTCTCTATGCACACTTGTACGGTGCTTTCCATGATTCAGTTTAGCTTTTCAAAAGTGCTCCAACCTACTTTTTTGTTGACAAGAGCCCGGCGTTACAAAGAACGAACAATAACAAGCGAAGGTAGTACAGAAATCCTACAGACAAAAGCCCGAACTCAGTGCTCCTCGGTTTAGGGAAGGGGAGGAAATTTGGCTCACTGCCTCACTCACGTCGGGACTACGAGCGGGAGTGTAGGTTTTTGTTTTGTCTAGGGAGGCGAATATCCAGTAAGAGGAACAAAAGGGGTGGTAGAGGGTTGAAAAGGAGAAACCTCCCCCTCTTTAATATAACATTTTGATGCCAATCTTAATTTGGAGCTTTCGTGACTGCAGGAATTACCCTTTGGTTCTTTCAGTAAAGTCACATATAAAGATAAAATAATAAATTAAATAATAGCATACGACGTTTCGATTGCAACACAAGCAATCATCATCAGGTATAAATGAAATAGCAACAAAAATCTAACCAGAAAACTATAGACAAACATATAAGCAGACAGATATCACCAAGATACATAGAGAGAGAGAGAGAGCAACACATAGGCACACAGAGAGAGAACGTCCCTGTGACGAGGCCTTAAATAGAGAGAGGGGGCGGAGAGAGGGAGGGGGTTAGAGAAAAAATTAGCATGCCAATGAGTAGGATGACGGGTGGTAAAGTACGCAAGCTTGAAAATTAGGAGAACGGGAGAGAGACAAATTAAATGAAATAACCTAGCCAAATATCGAAATGTAATGTAATGCAACACAGAGAGTCGGTCAACACACAATTAACGCATAGCCTGGTCAATTACGTATTTCAAAGATTGCTAAGCTAGAATTTAAGTGTGAAAATTCCAAAGAGAGACAAAACACAAAACACGAGGAACGGAGACACACCGACAGAGCAGAACATAAGAACGACAAAAAAACGAGTGGAGACAGAAAAAGTACACTAAATACACAGGCAGAGAATGAAAACAAAAAACCCAGAGAGAGAAAAAAAGATGAACTTAAAACTTCCCCGTAGAAGTGGTTCAATCTTAATTTGGAGCTTTCGTGACTGCAGGAATTACTATTTGGTTCTTTCGGTAAAGTCACGTATAAAGATAAAATAATAAATTACATAATAGCATACGACGTTTCGATTGCAACACAAGCAATCATCATCAGGTATAAATGAAATAGCAACAAGCTTGCGTACTTTACCACCCGTCGTCCTACTCATTGACATGCTAATTTTTTCTCTAACCCCCTCCCTCTCTCCGCCCCCACCCCCTCTCTCTATTTAAGGCCTCGTCACAGAGACGTTCTCTCTCTGTGTGCCTATGTGTTGCTCTCTCTCTATGTATTTTGGTGATATCTGTCTGCTTATATGTCTGTCTATAGTTTTCTGGTTAGATTTTTGTTGCTATTTCATTTATACCTGATGATGATTGCTTGTGTTGCAATCGAAACGTCGTATGCTATTATTTAATTTATTATTTTATCTTTATACGTGATTTTGATGCCAGTTTGCCTTCAGTAACTGCCCTAAGGTATTCGTTCCTGCGTTTCTCAATCTGCTTGTTCTGGTGAGGGTCACAGCGGCGGCATATTGAGTAGGGCGTTCCAGTCCTTCCTTTCCCTGGCTAGAGGCTCTAGCTCTTCTTGGGGAATTTCCAGGCGTTCCCAGGCCAGCCAAACAACACAGACTCGCCAGATGTCCTGGGCCGGCCCCGAGGTCTTTGGCCAGTGGGACGTGCTCGGTAGAGTTCTAGGGAGAGTCTACCAGGGGGCATCTTCATCAGGTGCCCGAACCACATCAACTGGCTCCTCTCTATCCGGAGCAGTGGCTCGACTCGGAGGCTCTCCCGGATTACCGAACTCCTCACCCAATCACGGAGAATGAGCCCGGCAACCCTGCAGAGAAACCTCATTTCGGCTCCTTGTACCCACAATCTCATCCTTTCGCTTATTACCCAAAGCTCATGACCATAGATGAGGGTGGGGACATAGATCGTCCTCTAAACCGAGAGCTTTGTTCGAGAACTCAGCTCCTGCTTCACTACCACGGAATGGTACAGTGCCCGCATCGCTGTGGATGTCGCACCGATCCGCTGGCCGATCTCCCACTCCACTTACCATCACTCACGAAAGAGACCCCAAGCTACTGAAATTCTCCACTAAGGTCTTCGTGTGTTTACTTTATTTTGTTTAGCAAAAACTTGCAGTGGATTGCTTCTTAACCCAAGTCGACTCAAACTTCCTGATTGCATTTGCTAAACGACCTTGTTAGTATAAATTGGTATGATTTAATTCCTGGATATACAATAATGGCAATTCCTAAAATGCGATGCGACAACCTGAACACCCTTGCAAACAAAAAGTTTCATCTCGAGGGAATATCCATGTGAAAATTAACAAATAAAGAAATAATTATATTACACTGAAAGTAAAATGATGTACCTGTTTGAGCTTTATTGTATAAGCACCCTGATTATCATCATGATTTAATTGATACATCAGACATCAACATATTATCCTGACATTGCAATACCGGTGAATCCGGTTCGGAATGAGACTAACTCAAGTATGCTAAGATAGAAATGGTCTATTGCACTTTATCTTACCTAACACTGAACGTCATGTTTTCAGAACGCCAGGGCAGAGGCGGCTATTTGGTGGAGGCGGCGAATGATGCAGTGAAAGCAGCCGACACTGTGGCCTACCTGAGAGAGAACTCCTGGGTAGACCCACGCACGGCAGCATTGGTCACCGAAGTCTCAGTGCTCAACGCAAACACAAAACTGGTCTGTCATTTGACTCTGCTGCTGATCTTCTCGTCACCTGGTGAGTCCCTCTGTATTCACCATTGACAATTGTGCGAAATTTGATTAAACATGTGTATTCATTTGTCAATTACAAACTTTGTAAAATTTGGTGGTTGCTTCATGCAATTGCAAGCAAATAGTATCTGTGGTGAAACCACTCAAAGTCAGACTCGAGTAAGCCAGAATGCTTAATAATGAATAAATGGAACAAATTGTTCCTAAACACCCCGTTTGGGGGTAGACTTGGCCATTAATTCTTCCAGTGTAATATAAAATGTGCACCGTATTTGGAAAATATTACATTCGTTCTTCTATTGAGATTGGTTCCAGCTATGGAACTGTGGAATTTCCACCACTGGCTCAGGGCTGTCAGTGGAGTTGAGCTCCTTCCAATGCTCCTTTGGGCGGAGGAACACGCATCTAATTTATTTAATGAAAGTGATGTGTAGAATATATAATTTGTTTTAATGGACACTTTTTTGTCAATTACTATACAGCAGTAACATTAAAATCCATACATTTCCATTTAGGTGTTGCCAAGCCACAAGTCAACGCACGGGTCTTTTCCATCCTGGAGATCGGAGAGTTGCAGTTTAATCTCAACCTGACTGCTTACGTCTCCATTTTTGTCCTTAACCTGCTGTTATTGGCGTGTGACGTTCCCAAAATCTGTAAAGAGAGAGGTGCCTATTTTAAAAAGGTGACACATTTAGTAGAACTTCTGTGCTTTGGTCTAAGGATAACCACTGCAGTGGCGTATTATCAGCAGACAATGACACTTAAAGAAACCCTTGAAACATATACACAAGGTATGTAGTTGATAAGAAATGTATGCTATGACAAATAAACTAGAATTAAAATATTACTACAGTATAACAGTGTGGTAATGTATGCTATTTAATTTCTACAATCTATGAAATAATACATCTAAATACTGTGTAATTCAGTAAAACTACTGCATGGAAGATGTTTTATCTCAAGCGGGGTAATGCACATTATGCCTTATACGTGTTGTGACATGCACATGCAATAAACTTTAATTCTCTGTAATGGCGCATGAACTTTTGTTGTCAAAGACCATACAATTTATGTCACACCTACATAACGTAAAACATATACCGGGACGTGTAATTTTAGACAATTGTTAATTTGAATGACGGTGGATCTCCCAGATGGCAATGTGACGTTTGGCAAGCTGGCCTCGCTGGACGAGCGTCTCAGGGTGGCGCTGGCGCTGTTGGTGTTCGTGGAGTCCCTCAAGGCTCTTCAGCTCCCCCTGCTCCACCGCGGAGCGAGGCGGTGCCTGGCGCTGCCTCTGCTGCACCGAGAGGCACGAGTAAAGAGCCGGCTGTTGATGGTGGCCCTGCTGCTGGCCCTGTTGCTTAGCGCCTACAGCCTCTCTCTGCACGGACTGTATGGCGCCCACTCCTGGGCCCACGCCTTCCAGTCCGTGACCTCTGCGCTCGTGCGCATGTCCCGCCTGGGAGAGGCGCTTGGTGGCGGAGGGCCATGCGCCACGCTCGCATACCTCTCCTTCAGGCTGATGGCCTTTCTCCTGCTCTACTTACTTAGTAAATAGGACATACTATATGTTGTCCCATTCCTTAGTCTCCACATTGTCGTAATGGATCTAGCCGTGGAGTGTAATGGATCTAGCCGTTGAGCGTTCGCCAGTTGAGTAATTACCAGAAAGAGCCATGTCACAGTGCTCAATCCACAATTGAGAGTTTGCAAGTTTTAATCTTGATGAGTAGTCTGGTATCTATTTGTGTTTAAAATATATATAATCGAGATATAATGTGTATCTACGCACCGTTTACGGTGGTATATAACTACTATATGTTTTGTATCTGTATGGTGATATTTGTTGAATAAAATACAAACTAGAGCGCACTTTTCGACTGGAGTATTTTTTTTACGTCCTATTTAACTTTGGTTAAGAATTTAGCTCAACAAGTATGGTTGGTCACTGAAAAGAATGAAGGTACTGGAACTGCATACTTATCAGCAACGCCACTTCATGAATGGAAAATGAAAGACAAACCACAGTGCGATTGTGGCCATGCACCACAAACTATGGGCTGTATAGTACACCATTGTGGTCTGCGTTCCTTCAATGGAGGACGAGGAACAGCAAAACTATACAAACTCTGGCTCCTGAAGCCCTCTCATCATGGCTAGCAGACCTCGGCGTTGGCATTTAACTCCAGAACATATTGCCATGCATAAGAAGTCACTCACTGGAGAAAAAAAGTAATAATGTAAAATAAAAACATTTAGTTTGCAACATACAATTACAACAATAAACAAATCGTATTTAGATGCGTAATGCTTAAATACAATTCCATTTCAAGACGCTTTGCAAAAACAATCTCATGTGCACTCAACATGTTACTTAATCTGGGGGTTTTATGTTTTCAGTTTACAATACAGCCTTAAAGAACAGGTGATTAAGTTTAAAGTTTATTTTGTTTAACCAAGTCCGAATTCAAAAGACCAGGATAGAGCCTCTTTAAACATTGGCCTGTGTTACCAAAATGACCAAAGCAAAAACATAAAACACTTTTAAGATGTTTAACACGTAGGCTTGCGTGACCAATATCCATAAGAGGTTTTTTGGGGTTAGATCGCGTAAATATATAAATATGTCATAAAACACGCAACCACCCGACACAGCCAACTAGTAAGGGTTGTCACGTAAACAGAATGTGGCCAATTCGTCACTAGTACAGCACACCGGTGTGTTGGAAAGCCAAGCCACAACATTTACAATCTGAATACGTTTCCCCAGTAATTACAACTAGCTTCATCAGGCGTTGATGTGGTGACCTCGCTTCTGCGCTCTTGCGCAAAGTGGGGGGGGGGGGGGGGGGGATTACTGAGTCAACGTACATTATGCATGCGCATTATGCGAGCCCTTCGATCTTGTCCTTCCTGTTCATTGTGTTTATTAAAATAGCCGTACAAACGGCTTATTGAAGCCTGTATAGGCATTCATTTAAACTATGTATTATTTGATTATTCGCTTCCACAAAGCACTAAGTCGGTAGCTATCTGAACGGTTATTTTATTTTTTTCAATATCGATAGATTCTCTAATTAGTCTTGGACAGTAGTAGATATTTTTGCACAGAACTTCAACATGATTATAATTAATTGAGTGTCCTTGTTAGCACGCGTGTTCTGCTACTGCTGACAGTTGTATTTGGGAGTATTTAATATTTATTTGACGTTATTTTAGTCTCGTGCTGATCATTCGTCCTGTTTGCCCAACATAGTATTTGTCACACATGTATTAATGTACACACCTTCTGTTGATAGCTTAGGTAAAACATATTTTGTACCAGATATTAATTTCTGTATTTTATGTACCATGCCAAATCTGACTCGGATGTTTTGTTTTTCCAAACATCTGGCTAGTTTATCAGTTACTCCCACAATGTACGGTATTTTGATCGTTTTAATTAGTTGGGCAGTTTCAATGCTCGTGTTATTTGATTTGGTTTTGGCATTCAATGACCTGTTGATTTGTGCACCATTGTAACCGTTCATTTGCAGCGCTTCTTTAACATGCTTAATTTCACATACCAGACTATCACCATCTGACACTTTCTTAGCTCGATGAATGTGTCTTGATAAGAGCAAATTTCTGTGCAGGGTGATGTATCACCCACAGTTTAAAAAGACAAGTAAAGTACAGTCAGTTCTCCTATAACGCAGTAGCTACGTTTCTGAAGAAGACCGCATTCTGGAAAAACTGTGTTATAATAACCATTGATTGAATATGAATTAAGGGGTAGTAGGTTTCAAAAACACCAACATAACTGACATTTTTCATGATAATTTATTGTACAGTATTATTGTTGATTATTAAGCGTTATATTATAATTACTGTGTTTTAGTTTGACAATATAATTCATTACTTTAATAAAAACATGAAATTGGCTAAACAATACATATTACAGTGTTATTCGTTAGGCGATATAAAACAAGCCATGGAGGACGGTGAAGAGAGAAGACAATGAAGGGTGTGAAGTGACTCGCTTCACATCTTTTAATGACATAATCTTTTTAAGTTAAAACATTTTTAACCATAAGAAATATGAAATGTGAATAAACGTATACAAATGTTGCAACACCACAAGATGAGATGGCTGCTTGAGACGAGTAGGGTAAAGCACAGTCCGTGATAACAGGTGAGGTGCGTATGCAGGCTGAACAAGGACTGAGGCGCATGGGTAGCATCTAGATTCTAGAAGCATCCAGCAGCATCTCGCCTTGTGCGATGCTACGCCGAGGCACCCGCACAAACGGCGTATTCCTACTCGCACGACGTAGTTCTGTTCATTCAATCGCGTTATATCCAATCCACTTCCGCCTTATAAAAATGTTTTCTCTAATACATTCATTGCGTTATATCCAATTCGCGTTATGAAAACATCACGCGTAATAACAGAACTGAGTGTCCATCTTGGAGGCTGTATTATGCACTTATTCAAAAGTGTATTTTTTCACTAAACTGGAAAGGCAGGGCTTGTTTTTAGGCTTAATGTGCATTGCTATATCCAGCCTGAATGCAAGTGCTGGATGTGAAATTCAATTCCCTAGTCAGGGTTTATTTTTCTTTTCATACGTGATTACTGTTCAAGTAATAAGAGCTTGTTTTCATATGGACCTGTGAATAGCACACGCTCTGTGCACATAACACGAGGTTTAAACAGCCTCCGGAATTTGATATGCAGCATGAATCATACGTAGTCATAATTCCAGTGTTAAATTCTCATGTTCTAAATTAAATAATAAACCATTGTTTGTTAAGAACGAGCGCTTAACGTTTTGAATAATTGTTTGCGAACATTTATACCGCTCTTATTGATGCGTGATAGCTCATCGTATCATCTGTTGTTTGCTTTCCCCCCCCTCGTGTGTTTGTGTTGGATTAATACCAATCAACCACCGTGGATGGACGCGTAAAGGAAACTAATGCTCGAGTTGCAAGTTATACAGCAAAGATCATGCTAAGCACAATGATGTAAACGGCTTCGGTGTCAAATAAAATCCTTTGTACCTAACCTGCTTAATCTATTCCTACTCATATATATATGAGATAGATATGAGAAGTGAACACAGAATAAGACAACCAATGGTTCACACTGGGCTGTTTTTAATCAAGTGCTTTCGTTAACTTTTCATATTTACCCGAGTCAATTAAGATTGTGTAAAACTATTACCAAAATGGTGAATGTTTAATCTCTCATATCTGTGCATGCAGTGCTGTGCATTCGTATTACCTGAAATATCACTTTGTAGCATGAACTGTTGTAAAATGCGTGCTGAGTTTTATATTTTAATTTGCAGGCACCGAAGGCTGTTAATACATGCGTGGTTGCAACGCTACTGATACTCCTCAATTCCTCTCAACTGTCTGGTAAGTTATTAAATACCTTCAGCATTACTATGACAGTTATTGTTAAGTGCAATATATGTACAGAATATGAACACAGTGTAGCAGCTTCTAGTGAGCATGAGGCTTTGCTTAATTCTATTGGAGGCATTTTAAGCATCATGTACCGAAAGAACCTAAGAGTATGTACATGTATAGGGACAAAATACTGGCATCTGAAATGCACTGCTATGGGAGGATATTACATCCTAGCTGGACACAAAGAGTGACACATGTATAAGTAATAAAAAGTCTGAATATAACAGAATACTTGATGCAAGTGGTAGTGAGAAGGAAACTATGCTTGTTTGGGCACATATTCAGGATGCAGAACAACAGGAAAAGAAAAACTGTATTGATGGGAATAATGGAGGGAACTGGAAGAAGAGACATATTCTGTAGAGAATGGCTCAATGACATGAAATTGGTGCCAGAGAGATTTGCATAGCCTCAGCATGTTGGCACAGGATAGAGGGAAGTGGAAACAAGTGACAAAAATGCAGTCGACACCTACGGGCTCTCTGCACATGGAGTTTGGTAGATTAATTGCCATGTACTGCTCTTTTGTCAATCCACAACTGGATAAGGGCCTCACCACTCAATGCAAGTCGTGGGGGTTATTTTACGGAAGTTCACCACGGCTTGAATAAGTTGGTGAAATTTGAGATATTTCATTTAGTCAGTACCACATGAGGTGACATAACTTTAGTGGTTTAAATTTCGTTCAATGACCAATAACAGCGAATTATGTAATAACCATTCGAAAGGAGTGAGGATATAACATAATTCACTTGTATTTGCCATGTAAATAAATTGGAATCAATAAAGTGTTGCTACCTTATGCCGTAGCATTTACTACTCTGGCATAGTTCTACAAAATCCACATTGCTATGCAAAATCCATAGCAGAACTATGGAGATTGCTCTCCACATCACCAATTGCACCTGTGTTTTGAGCATGGTGGTGGTCACCCATCCAAGCTCTATCCAGGCTCTATCCAGGCTCATTTCTGCTTAGCTTGTGTAATCTGATAAGATCAGGCACGTTAAGAGTTATTTGGTGATAGGCAGGACTTAAGTAAGTGGTGGAAGTTATACAATCCAATGGTAGAGACAGTATTTAAAGAATGAGTGCTAAAACAATTACGCTAAATACAGTCAAACCCCTTTTTACCTTGAGATTTTTTTGTCCATTCTAATGCCATAGAGGAACTTGTCATCATGCTCCAGCAAGCACAAGGTCGTGCTCATTTACACATTCCCATGGCTAAGGGCAGTATCTCTATAGAGAAACCACTGCTAGCTCCCTTCAACCAGGCCTAGGATCACACCTTGTGATTACCAGGACTAGGATCTCACTCTGTGATTCACAGTTACATGTCCAGCCAGGCCTAGGATCACATTGTGATTCACAGTTACATGTCCAGCCAGGCCTAGGATCACATTGTGATTCACAGTTAAATGTCAAACCAGGCCTAGGATCGCACTGTGATTCACAGTTAAATGTCCAACCAGGACTAGGATCACACCCTGTGATTCACACTTAAATGCCCAACTAGGCCCTGATGCTTAGGTTTCCACAGTTGTCTTGCACAACTCTTCGGCGTGTTTTAGTTGTTTCTCATGATGTTGGACATTTTTGCTTTCTGTACTGGGAGCTTTGTGTTCTCGGAGCTTCTTCAGGAACCAAATCCAGTTTCTGAAGAAGCAGAAGTCACATGGAGCATAACGTTGGACATCATACCTAGAAACTAAAAACACAAATTGGAGAGTCAATTGCTTTGCTGGAGTACCACCCACATAAGAAACTACAGTGCATGTCTAACTGGTTTGTTTGTAAATATTACGTGGTGTTATGCAGTAAGTTTGCATTTGTTATTTTGCATTGCAGAGAGCATCGTCTTTGCTGTGTTCAACCTGACAAGTCCATATGGGAATTTCACCAGCCCAAACTACCCACGTACATACCCGCTCTATTATGATGGCACTTGGATTATTAAAGGGCCACCCAATTCCATAATCACCCTGACAATAACCGATATACGGTAAGTGACAAGCACACGTCAGAGAGCCATTTCCTTTCATAAAAACATGTACAACCAACATGACAACCCACTTTTTAACTTTTTATGTAATTTACCTATGTCTGAAACTCTCAGAAATTATATTTTGTTACAATGGTATAACCGTTAAACATGTACGTGGCTTAAAGTTATCAGCTGATAAACGTTGCTTTTTAGAAGCCTTCTCAAATTTGTAAATAGTGAGTTGCTGTTGAACTAAGTGCTCCCAAATTGCCCATGGCACAACTCTAATCTTGGAAAAGGTCACGTGACCTTTTAAACCAAGGGACCTATTATTCTCAGATGTTTGCAATACCAAACCAGGCAGAACATGTATAAATTTAAAACGTTTTGCTCTTTGCTAATCATAATTTGTATAAAATGTAAACATATTTTTTGGACAGATTTGTATCCCCTTACGAATTTGTGTTAATTACACTCCTTGCTTATGATTTGAGTCAATCAAGGTCTGAGTCAACCCCCAACCCAGATTTCAAATCACAACCTTCCAATAATAGTCATGTGATCTGCCATGGTAACATAACATCCCTTAGAAATAAATCGAAGAGGTTGACAGTGGTGACATGCTAGACGTTTGTGAGAACATGATTATGGTGAATAGCCAAATGTAAATGCAGAAAAATTCCTACTTTACTGGAGACAATGGGCCAACAAGTAGCGATATGTGATGAATCACCCCTGCGAGGCATGTTTAATGTGAGGCAGGGACTGGTGGAGAATGCACTGCACTATTAATCTGGTTGCCATAACATCAGTGGTCAGTGATATCTTACACGATCCTGAACTGCCCATCCGTCCCTCCCTCTTGACCAACCCACACTGACCAGTGTGGTGAACCATGGTCAAACTCCCATGACCGACGTGGCATGAGATGGCCTTCATCCAGCAGTGGATTTACACAGGGGCGCTACAGTAGGGTTTTAATGCAGATTTTTATTTACATTCGTTTCACAGATTGGAAGTGGATTTTGATTTTGTGTATGTTTATGAGACCCAGACAACGCCCAACATCAGCGTGACATCTGCTTATTCATTCAAGTCTTACAGTGGCACCCTGACCGTGAAATTGACGAGTGATCAAAGCAGGGTTTATAGAGGCTTCAGTGCTGTCTACTGCATTACCAACAACACATCAACTCACGGTGAGTAGGCCTTTGAACCTTCAACGAAAATATACATGAAGGAGACATAGAGTGATTATCGCTTTTGTTTGTAATGTAAATTAAGTGCCGTAGTGAAACTTCTCTTATCCGATTTGTTGTCAGAGCTAGAGGAAGATTATTTTATTTGTTTCTCCACGCAAAGTACTATTCTTATCTGCGCAGTAACTATTTCATGATTGACCAAGTGTGCGAACTGTGCCTTTCAGAGAATACTAGTCCAATTGGACTGCAATCAGGTACCATACCAGACAAGCTCATCACCGCCTCATCAACATTCAACGCTAGCTTTGATGCCAAACAGGCCCGTCTGAACAACACCTTGGGCTACTGGAAACCAGCAACGCTAAACAACAAGCAATACCTATTGGTAGTGTTCCAAGCTAGGGTCATCGTGACTGGGCTAGTTTTGCAAGGATCAGCGCCCGAGATCGACACCCTCTACGGGCTTAACGCCAGCTGGGTGAAAGCCTTCAACATGGACACCATGAGCCCGGAAACCTTCTCATGGACTAGCACAAACACCACGGTAAGTTCATTTACACGTATACACTCTGTAAATTTTAATTAGACTAACACACACTGCAAACGACTGCATCGTTCCACCCTACTTATTACATTTACTTAATGTAAAATGATAAAGCTCTTAAATACTGGTCTCGCAAGATGTCTATACATTAGCAATTATTTTATTTCTGATTCCTAAAATAACATGTAATTGTATTGACATTTGTGTTTTGTGCCTTTGTAGTTTTTCACTGGCCTCTCTAGTTCTGATGAACTGAAGGTTGCAACAATTGGACTGCCCTTGATCAGCAGTGGCATTCGGATTAGGCCTGTGAATTGGCAAACTGATATAGCCATTCGCATGGAGATTCTGACTTTCTGCACCAAGGCTGGTCCCACTGAATTTACATACAGCCCCAACAACACTAAAGGAGGCATTACTTTTAAAGCAGCAAATGTCTCCATTGGCTTTGCCTGCTACATCTGGGATGTTGGGGATGGACAAACATTCATTTTTGGTCCTGACTTTTGTTACAATTGGGGGTCACATTTTTCAATAATAACATCAGCTTTTTCAGACCCGATATCATTTTTGTATAGCTATGCAGAATTTGGCATATACACATATAAGGTGAAAGAAATTACTGGCAATGGCAATAGCACATATGAACAGGTTGTTTATGTCAATGGCTACGGTTGTATTCCATATACAATGACACTCGTAGATGACATGCAAAGCAACAATAAAACTCGTGTCCTCCAAGTTTCTGAGGCAATGCACCTGATGGCTCATGTGAACATGACATGCTTGGCCCAATTTGAAGACACACACTACATCTGGTCCATCACGACCCTGCAAACTGGCAACATTAAAACAATCCCATGGTATGATGCCAACTACCAACAATTTGAGCCCTTTTATTTCACAGAAGGTACCTTTTTAATACGCGTCACAGTCGACATCCAGCCAATAAGTTTACAAAGCTTCACTGACAATATAACCATCACTGTTCATGCGACTCCATTAGAAGTACACATCACTGGTGGAGACACATCAGCTGTTGGCAATGGAGCCGACGTGCAGATCGATGCATCTGAACTGTCTTACGATCCAGATAATCGAGACTGTAGTGCTCATGGAATTAATTTTCAGTGGAAATGCAGCAAAGCGCTTCCCGGTGAAGTAGTGCAAGATTGCAGATATGTCAATGTGGACATTGGCTCCATATACATACCGCAGTCCGAGCTGACAATAAATGCCACTGTCTGGGTACAAGTAACAGCGACTAAAGGGACTCGTGAAGCCAACAGAACTAAAGTGATTTCCGTGATGGACGGGAATCCCCTGGATGTTTACATTAGGTATGTAAGCCGCTATTTATATCGTCAGTCTACACATGTAGTCTGCATGCTGCATTATTGGATTTTCTTATAAGAACAATTTCACGTTATAATATGCAACAGAAAACATGTTTGCCACTTTATTGTTTACGATGGTGGTGGTGGTGATTAACACACAGGCTAAAGACCATGTACAGAATATTATCTGATGGTGTTAAAGATGATAGTAATAGATTGTGGTTCACCCTCTGCTTCCAACGCCACTGCAGAATAATGCAGTCATGTTTTTACATCTACAGTATGTAGTAACTGCTATCATCACTGATGCAGTCATTATTTGGCAAGGATCTTGGGTGTTGATACAATGTGTACCACTCTCTGTGAAATCACTGCGGTGGCTCTACGGAGAGACTGGCTCCTGCCATATAAATGTTAAATTTCACCAGTGGTTGAGGTCCACAATTGAGATGAATACTGTACCACCAAATGCTCATTTGGTCATTGGATAAAAACGTTGACATTGGCTATATTTAATGCTAACGGTGTCGGGCATATGACCATGCGAAGGCAGCATATTAGTCATATTGTAAATGTTTATGTATGACTGATGCCTTTGCCAAACGCTGATAATTCTTGTCATACGTTATTGTCATTCAAAAGCGCCACGGTGGTGAGATTTTAACGACCTCGCCTAGAATACAGGAGGGCGTGGGTTTGATCCTGACTCTGACACCTGTATATTTGGAGTTTGGATGTTCTCCCCGTGGTTGCATGGATTTTTCCACAAGTCGCTCCGCTTTTTCCCTCCACATTATAGAATCAACATGTGTTTAGAGTATTTCGCTGCTATACATTTCCAAATAATAAACATTTCGTTGAGCTATCATTTGTGGACAGATCGCTTCTGAAAAAGAGCTACATAGCCCATATATGTTTTTAACCTAGTGATTATGTAGCTTAACATATTATTTACTACTCTTTGGTTCTTTCAGTAAAGTCACATAGAAAGAGAAAATTATAAATTAAATAATTTTATATTTTTACGTGACTTTACCGAAAGAACCAAAGAGTAATTCCTGCAGTCACGAAAGCGTCAAATCTAATATTATTGACTAATTTGTTTTGATATATCCTTAACAATTTTCTGACAGCTGTGGACATACCTGCGCTGACAAGGTTACCACTTTGGATCCACTTGTGCTCTCAGGCGAGTGTGGTAACTGCGACGATGAGAACTTACTATACCAATGGAAGCTACTGTCCAATAACGAAACTGTCACAGATTTTGAGCACATGACTTCCACAGGTATAAGTATTTACGAGATGAGTTTTGAAAATGTCTTTTTCAAATAATCCACAATATGGCTATACTGTACATCCTTAAACATGGTATTTTAAGGAAAACCATCTTTATAATCTCATATTTAATTGCTTAAAAACTGGTTATAATATCTAATCTCTAATACCTGAAACAAACAGTATGAACTTACAAGAAGCACGCAACTATATTTTAATGCAACGAACACAATATTTAAATTTACGTTTCTTATTGGAGCACTTCAAACCAGTTGTTCGCTGGAACCTCCAAAAGGCAAACTGGATGCAGCAGCAACATAGGCTGTCTCAGCCCCTGCTGCTGATAAGAAGAACTCCTGTTGCCTGCAGACCGCCAGTCAATCATACTCGTCAGACTACAGAGGTTACTTATCCTGACACGGGGCCTATAGCGCAATGTAGTTTTCTCGGACTAACTCGCAATGCTTGTTAGCATGCAGTGATATTCTGATTAGTGGTCAGATATCCACCTCAATATATATTACATTGCTTATCCACTGCATATACATTTTGTATCTCTTTATGATACACTTGATTTGTAGCAGTGCATAACGTTAATTCATACATGTACCATATGTTGAACTTCTTTCACGCCGTACATAGCCAACCATGCTAATCGGAGGTATGATTCATACTCAAAAGGTTGCATGCATTTGTTCCTGCTTGAATAATATTTTCATTATTTTTTATTGATTTTGTCGCTTTCTGTTGCTGGTGGCGATGTTCAGGAATTTACAACAAAGGCTTAGTGATCACTGAGAATTCCTTGAAGGAAGGGGCTCTATTTGACATCCAAGTCAGTGTTACTGCCCATGGTAGAGGTACCGTGGAGGCCAGCTACAGCTTTGTCACTAGTCTTGGCCCTCTCAGCGGCATCACATGCGTGAGCAATCCTCTGTCTGGTTAGTACTGAAGTTTGTGTTCTTCGTTCTTTAAAACAATCACTCTTATAGTGGCTCCACAATTCACTTTTTACACGCAGATATGATAAAATTATTGAATCAAACTCGTCGCGGAATTTTGCACAGAAATTTTAACACGTGTGATGTAAAAATGGTAAGCACAGGTAGATAGTTGGACAGTGAGGGACACAGAATATATCTGTGAATTTAAGTTTATTTTAAAAATAATATTTAAACCTGGACTCACATTTGTCACACCTTGACAAGCGAGTGCAGATGCAATGCTATATCCAGAGTATTTTATTCAACAATAATTGCTTTGATGCTTTGTTTGAATTGGCTAGAAGTCATATACAGAATTCTGATTGCATGTGATGCAACATTTTTGCATAATACTATCAAACAATACATCTGCACACCCACTGTCTATGATAATAGATGCTCTATCATATTATGAATTTGGTTATTTTACTGCGCATGTGTTTGCTGTTTTGCTTTACATCCCTCCCATGTTTTTCGGGTAGTAATGCGTGTTGTCAGGCACGATATCTAACGTTTCACCGCACATGCTTGGGACTTCCTCAGTCCTGAAATAGCTCCCAGCACGTGGAGTAAAGATTTCACATTCGAAGATCAACACATCGTTATTATGTTTTGTTCAAGGTTTTGCAGCAGTGACGCTCTTCCAGCTCTCATGCAGTGGCTGGACGAGTGAGTCCCAACAGCAGCTCACCTACTCGTTTAAGGCCGTGTCGAACCACACCGAGTTCCTGATCTACAACTCTCAGCTGAGCCAGACTCCCTCTCTGCTGCTGCCCGTGGGAGACCTAGACACCCAAGGGACGCTGGACCTCAGGGCGAGCGTGTGCAACTCCGTTAGAGCTTGCACGTCGGCCCGCATACAAGTCAAAGTAAGTCTATTTTAGTAAGTTATTATATATATGTAGGGTGGGAGATGGTGGCCTTCTCGTGGCCTACCCATTAAGTGCCTCATCACACGACTAATACCATCACTTTTGCCTTTTTGGAAAGTTTCGAGTTCAGGGATGTGTAAATCCTGTCCAAAAAACAGTAATTTTAAGGGGCCAAAAGATCAGCCTAAGAAGAGTGGGACCTGCATTTCGAGTGTATTAATTAAACGTGGAAGGCCTCTCACGTGCAAAGTATGAGGTGCTCGACAAGTGTTTACATCAAGAACACATCGACGTTGTTGCCTTCCGGGAAACCCATGCCGAAGATAACTGACTAGCAAACTATAAAATCAACGGATATGACATAAATTCTGCCATCAACCATACGAAATACGACCTTGCCACTTACATCAAGCAAGGCATTACAGACAAAATGCGTCATCACCAATGAAACATCAGCCATTACCATCAGAATAGGCCAGGTGTAAGTGACCAACATCTACAAACCACCGAAGAGTTCCTGGCCAACTCCAATGATCCCTATAGCAGCTCAACCATTGGTATACGTGGGGTGACTTTAACAGCCACCACACACAATGAGGTTAATCCACAAATGACGAAGCAGGAGATCAACTCACTGACTGGTCATCCATAAATTATCAGATTTTCGACCCTAAACAGGGAGGCAGTTTCTACTCTGCTCGATGTAAACGGGGATACAATCCAGACCTCTGCTAAATGTCCAAAGATCACCATGGCCTCCCGCTCTCCACAACAAGGAAAATCCTAGGATCTTTCCCCAGAAGCCAACACCGACCAGCAATCATCCACATCGGTCTTCAAATTCCGTTGATCACATCCAAACCAGTTGATTGCTGGAATCTCCAGAAGGCGAACTGGTTGGCCTTCCAGCGCAAAACAGAAATCGCGCTGCAAACCATTGATCTGGTGCCACATATCTACAAAATTTTTGTCACCGCAATGATCAATGTGGCTTAAATCTGGAGATTGATGAATTCCTAAAAGCATTCAAAAGAACCGGCAATGAGACAACGGCATCAACGCTCTCAGAGGCTCTAAATTCGGCTAGACAACAGCACACTCCAGCCACAATGCATGGAATCTCCTTCACCATCTTGGCACCAGCATACCACCTATAAAAAGGCAAATCGCTTCTCACCTCTTTGCCAAAACAAAAGTCACAAAAAATAAGCAGCACAAACAAGACGTGTGCAAAGTTCTCACTGCAACTGAAAGGAGCCTACCAACAAGCTCCGCATTCTCCCATCTGTACTCAAGGGAAGAGATCTTTGACACACTATGGGCCACTAAAGCCCAAAAAAATCGCAGGCAACGACAACATATATCCCGAATTCCTCACAAATATGGGACCTGTCGGCCAAGACTGGCTCGCGGCCTTGTTTACCACTGTCCATTTAAGTGGCACAATCCCCAGAGCCTAGAAGGCAGCAAAAGTTGGAGAAGTTCAGGCCTTAAGTTACCAGCCCATCACACTGCTATCGACGGTATATACATTGATGGAGAGCACGCTGCTCACACGCATCGTGCCCATAGTTGAGCCATACCTGCCCATCGGACAAGCCGGCTTTCGGCCTGCCAGAAGCTCCTGTGAGCAGCTCCTTTCTCTGACCAGCTACATCGAAGCTGGAATCCAATGAAAGCAAAAACCCACTACAGCCATGACACCGTCTGGAGACATGGGCTCCTACTCAGGGCAGCGTGCATCATTAAGTGCTGTTCAACCCTGAATCTGCTGAACTCGTTGCTCAGCAATCGAAACTTCCAGGTACACCTTTCCAGTAACACAAGCCGTACAAGAAATGTCAACGACGGCTTAATTCAGGGATCAGTACTGACTCGGATCCTGTTAAATATCTTCACCAGCGACCTGCCAAAGACATCATCCCGCAAATTTGACTATGCGGACGACATAACAATGGATACTCAGGGAACAAACGTTAAGTCCATTAGTCACACCCTAACAGAAGACTTGTCCAAAGGTGGAAACTACGGCCATATCCATCCAAAACGACTGTCTAAATCCACCATCTCAATAACCATGACATAAACGCCTAGTTGTAAGTGACTTTCTTTGGTCACCCTGTCAAAAACGAGCCATATCCCAAGTACTTTGACAGAACATTAAACAAAAGCCTCACATTCAAAAAGCATATCGAATATATGTGCAAAAAAAAGCAGAGGCGCCTCACCCTCTTCCCAAACTCTTCCACCATCACTCTCAGTTTTACCTCCGATTCCACTCCTTCTACACTTCCTTGTCTTCACTCGTCTCGATGACTGCAACTCACTTCTGCCTGGTCTCCCTGATTATGCCTTTCCCTCTCCAACACATCCAAAACGCAGCTGCATGCCCTGTACTCAACTTTCCCTACATATCTCACTGCTCTCCTCTCATCAACTTCACTGGCTTCCTGTTACTGCTGTCTTTTGAAATTCCTCATCCTAGTATTCAAAGCTTTGCACGGTATTGCCCCCCCCCCCCCACCTCTCTTCTCTCATTTATGTATATGGCCGTTCACGCCCCCTCCGATATCAATCTTCTCTTCTTCTCTCCGTCCCTCCACCCCCTTTGTGCCCAGTCTCGCGTTAGTTATTTCTCTCTTCTTGCCCCTTTACATTGGAACAACTCCCTCTCCATATTAGACTTTCCACCTCGCTTTCCTCCTTTTGCTCTGCCCTCAGGTCCTTTCTCTTTTATATTGCTTTTTCTATTCCACTGCCTCCACCACGACCGGTTCCTTCCCCCGCTCCTAACCTACTCCCAGTCCCCCCATCCTCTTCCTCCAATGATCTCTAATTCCTCAGCCGGCTCCCACGTCTCGCTTTCTCTATGTGTACCTTACCACATTTATCCCTTAGCCCTCCACCGCGCTCGTCAATCAGTCCAACTATTCGTCCACCAGACCTCTGCCCCGATCACTCTTCACCTTCCCTCATCCATGCCCAGCAACAACACCTTGCCACTTCATACCCCACTGCCTCTCATCCACGTTGCACCCATCTGTCATCCTCATTCACCATCATACTCCACTGTATTCCTCCTTCCCTACCCCTGCAACATCAGCTCCTTTCCAGGCCCCTTTCCCTCCATCCCTTCCATCACCTCCCTCACGAATAGCCATTCCGCCCCACCCATTGCTCCCCTTTTGCCCCTTGTGTACCGCCATTGATTTGCGTTGTAGAGCACCCTTTCCAGGGGGCTTTCCAGATAAATCCAAAATATAACAGAAGACCGTTGGCTAACACCGTGGAGTTCTACGGAGGTTCCATATAAAAGCCTCATCGATGACCTCACCATTGCTCCGCACTGCTTTGATCTGCCAAGAAAACTATGGTGCTCCATCAACTGCTTCAGAACAGCAACTGGCCACTGCGCACACCTCCACCACAAGTGGAGAATTAAAGAAAACCCACAGTGTGCCTTTGGCAACCCGAACCAGATAATGGACCATATCGTGAACAACTGCATCCTACGCCGGCACTCCGGCGGACTGAAGAGTATTAGTCATTTTACTCCCGTCGCTATCGCATGGCTCAGACTTAAACTTGGATGTGTGATTTGCCCATACTTGCCATACGCTGGAAGAAGATTATATATATAAATATTTTTGCTTGAAAATGAACTGTCTTGACAATACTATCAGCCCAGCTTTGCCCCAAGTCTTGGTGAAGGAAAAACTAAAACCGTGGAAAACTATCCGTACCATGAGAATCCCATGCTGGCTCGGCTGAGAAGTGCCAGTAGATAATGAGTATAAGTAAGCTCGGGAAGTGGTCCCCAGAAGCAAGCGTTTCATATGGAGACATACACTGAACATAATTGTGCATACTGTTCTCATCACCAGTGGCACTCGCAATTCCATTTCAACTCACTGTTCATGTGTTTGTCCAGTCAAAGAAAGTGCCCGCTTGGTGAGGTCTAACATGATTTACTTTTCAGGTAACGCATCTATCTGCGGAGCAGCTATTTGACAATACCCGTGCAATGCTGGCAACCAATGGGACAATCCAAGCGATGGCACGCACGGGCAATGTCATGGTCGTCGGGTTGATAAAGATTTTAACAGCATCCCTTCAAAACTTAGCCCCAGACCACTATGTGAAAGAGGTATTCGTTTGAAAACATGCACATCAACACTGCAGAATAATTTTTAAGCAGCAGCCCATTCCCGGTCAGAAAAAAGTCATTTAAAATTAAATGTGTAATGAAGATATATAAATACAAAAACGCAATTGTTGATTCAACTCAACCAAAATATGAACATTTTGCTAGAGGATATGAGAATGTGATTCTGCCACATCCATAATTCTGTATGATCATCGTGGGGCACCATGGGGGTGAGATGTTAACTACCTCGCCTGGTATACAGGAGTTCGTGGGTTCGATTCCAACCCTGACGCTGGTATATTTGGAGTTTGCATGTTCTCCCCGTGGTCGGATGGATTTTTTATCCGGGTCCTCCGGTTTTTCTCTCCACATTTTAGAAAGATGCATTTAAAGTATTTGGCTGCTGTAAATTTCCACACGATAAGCTACTTCGTTGAGCTATCATTTGTAACTAGGTCGTTTATGAAAAAGTGATAAAAAGATCGGTGGGCTTTACCTGGTAAAATTCAAAAATATAGTAATATATAGAGTGCATGGGTGGTCAGCAGAGGGCACTGTAGCATAATCCATTGATGTACGTTTGTACTTTGCTCCAATGTAAATCCAGCCAACCTTCAGACCAGCGTGGTAAAGTACGGTGAAATATCTCCCATGACTCAGACGGGATGGCGAAACCCGCATTCAGCAGTTGATTGGCAAACCGATTCACTGCATGTACTGATTCTGACCTTGTATTGTCAGTAATTGTACCGTACAAAGGTATAGAATGTAGTATATGTATTTTTTTAGAATATTTCACATGGGAAATAAATTTGGATGGAATATCTCCTTTGTAAAGTTGTCCAGGGCTGCAGTGTAAACGTGTGTCTGGCTGTAGTGTAGTTCATTTCCAGAGCTTTCCCACGGATCTGCACACTGACCTCATCACCTGTGGCACTCGAAATTCCATTTGAACTCACCGCGTGCAGTATAATAATTCCACATTTACCCTTGAGGGTAAGAGTGTACACGTTTGTTTTTTTCAGACTTAATGTTGTTAAATTAATAAGTAGTCGAACGTAGGCATGATTGTGGTTAACCTTGGTAATTAATTAATTATTCATGAATGCACGCATATACAGGTGTCCCTCGATTTACGAAAGGGATGCTTCTTTAAAAAACACACGCGTAAAATGATACTTCGTAAATAGGAATGGCTTTTTCCATACATTTTATGAAAAAAAATTAGGGATGCGTTTCGGACAGTCATTCGAACTCTGCTCCTAACCTAAAAATATACACCTATATAACTTTTCACAATACAAAAATAAGAATAAAGAACATGCATTTTAAAAGATTTTATAATAACACAACAAAAATAATTAACCTTCTCAGGGAACTCACCAAAAAATCTGTATGTTGGAATGACTAGCAAAGTCATGTAGAGGTGTTACCTTTGCTCTGTAGGGATACCGTGACACTGTTGCAGATGGATGCCGCAGCCTCCTTTGATGCTCTTTGTTTGATCTCATGACGCGTGCCGTAGTGAAATTTCGTTCGCACAGAAATTCTATTTCGTTAATAGAAACGTCCTAATAATTAGTAAATTGCGTTTACGCGCGAAATATCGTAAACCGAACGTTCGTAAATCGAGGAATACCTGTATTGGAGTGAATAACATTTGATATCGACATTAAATCTACGGCAAATGTTTTACCTTTCATAAATACATCTCCTGTTATAATGATCCCTAATTAAATTGGAAATATGTTAATATCTAATGCATATTTACCTCAGAATAAGTCAAACATATTTAAACACTTGTTAAATTAAACTTACAGTGTTTCAGCTATGAGTTGCATCTTTTATTCTTAAAATTGGCCATTTTTTTACGCGTGCCTTCCAGCTGACAGCGGAACTCTCACACACAATGTCCAGGGTGAATGTGTCCCTAAGTAGCGCTCATGCGATTTTGCAATACACGAGTGCTCTGAGCTACATGGCACCATACTTTGCACAAGATGATCAGGTATGTGCGTGCTGTTTATCAAATTCATCAATAAACACTATTTTAAATGACTTTATGCCTAAACTGCAATAGAGTATATGCCATGTGTAAAATGTACACAACTGAATTTAATATATATTGTATACACGTGTAATATATATGCATAAATTTGCTATTGTTGGGTGACTGTTGACATGTTTAACTTATGTCATTTGTATGAAGAGCGCTTTACTGGGAAGTGCTAACCTGGCACTGACAAGCATGGACAGCCTCAGAAACATTGACAGAACATCTCTGTTGAAGGCAACTCGTGGTACAGTAATGAAACTATATCCACAAACGTAAACCCCATCAAAATACATTCCCATTGTAATTGATATGTAACGGTTTGCTCATAATATTTGAATGTATGGTTGCTTGCTTGGCATTTTGCAGACACTTTCTATGTGAGTGCAGTTGTGCTTGAGAGGGCTTTTGATGCACAGAACATTTTCAGTGGAACAGCAACAACACCCGGGAACGATTCTCCCCTGGTACGTGTAGTACCGTATTGAAAATTGTTTCACTTTGCCTTTGCTTCTTGTTCGCTCTCTATTGAAACATTTCTTAAAAGCCAAGCAAAGCCACGTGACACATATAATTGGCAACCAAGAATCTTTCAGTATTTTTATGTCAAGCAAATGTCACACACCACGCTTATTGCGTCCTATTTCAGTAGCTGCTCTTCAAATCGATGTAATGTTGTCACATGACCAGTACAGTTATGGTTTTCATTTTAAACCATAACTATACAAAGATATTCTGTGTACTTTTAACATCAAAGAGATGAGACATTAATGAAATGAGTTGCAAGACATGATAAGCACTATTTTTGTGTTTAATTTATTTCCCCGCACCTTCGATTAGCATAGTTGGCTACGACGTTCAACATATATACATACATATCAATAAATGCTAAGTTAATATGAATTTCAAAACGACAATGTACAGCCCTTTATCAGTTTATTTACGGATGCAGGGCTCCTCATGCTGTGTCGGTGATGGGGGTTGTTTGGTCATTCTTCACCGCACTCATCAGTGCGGTTTGATGGAGGGCTGGATGGATACGAAAATCGCTTGCCACTGATGTTAGCAGTGGCTGGGAATTGAACTCTGGTCGTGGGGTTTATTGTAAACGGTGCTGTCCCACCATGTAAATAATTTTTCAGCCCCTTTAAATGTGTTGAAATGTTTTTATGTAATCAAAATTGGATTATTCAGTACGTTTGAATTGTTGTGATAGGGCTAAATAAGCTAATTGCATGAGTACCTGGTCTGTACAAATTATTTGAATATCTGTATGGACGGGGCATATTTAATGAAGCACAGCGTATCTCAAAAGTTGTTTGACACTGACTTCTTTGTGCTTTCCAGGCCAGATCCTTTGATGGTATTTACCAAACTCTACTCACGTTGGGGACATTGCAGAACAAGAAGGCCGTTGCTGGTGAAGGGGCATTTGTCTTAGACTCGAGCTACGTTTCCACTGCGACACAGAAGGTCACTGGCAATAAACTTCTTAGCTCATCATGGCAGACGGCAGATGGGAGCAGTGCCTCCATATTGTTAAACAATATATCAGAAATTGCTTCAAAGCAAACGGATAATGTCAATGTCCAGGTAAATATACAATGCGTATTGTGTACAGACAGTCCCCGGGTTACAGAAGGGTTAGGTTCCCACCAACGATCCGTAACCCGAATTTTACATATTTCGAAAGTGAATAATCCCCGCCCCCCAAAATCAACGATAAAATCCCATAGCCGGAAATAGTTGTGCCTCCCCCCTACCTAGTTCGATTAATCTCAGAATTGTATCGCGCTGTCGTCAATTTTCTATCACTACTTATATCGTATCGCTGTACATACGCTCTGCACTTCATATGATTCTTTCATTTAATCGAATATCTACCCTAATACTACCCATAATTAAACTCATGAAACACATACTGTATCCAATTGTTAATGAATACCACGAACATTTTTACGTGAATTGTTAACAGAAAGCAGTCACTTCCGAATGTTCGTTTACCGTGCCTTAGGCTAGGCCTAGACTTCTATCGCTCTTGGCTGAGACATAGCCATCGAAGTATAATTGTGTTAAATAAAGTACATACAGTAAATAACTCAAGAAATACACTTAAAATGAAAAAAAACTAGCAATAAAAACATGAGGAAAAAAATATAGTTCTGAGCATAGAAAACAAACAATGACGTAATGCTACGAAAAACATCCATTCACCGTCATCCTCGTGAAGCTCGAGCGAGGCGTAAGGCTGCTCACATTGCACCTCGCTCCACGGTATTCATCCGCAACCTCACCGTGCCGCACTACTTGCGCTTACATAACTACTGCAAACATTTCCGAATATTATTTTTTTACATGAATTATGGGAGCATTTCCATCAGGTCGGATTTCCGTAAGTCGGGTCTTCCACAACCCGAGGACTGTCTGTACTTGTAAAGAAAAATACTGAATGAGCTAAATGCAAATGATTTTGGGAACATTTATTAAGGATTATTGGCTGATAAATACCTTTAACTTAACCCACTTAATATCAAATTGTATTCATATAAACCTACAAAAATTCAGTGAGCCACCTTTGACTTCAGTAAATTATACCGGCTGTGTTGGACAAAGCGGAACAGGAGTGTGAACATATTTAACATATACATTGAGATCGGTGGGAAACATGTCCAGTATTTGAATTAAAATGTTTTCTTTGTGTAATGCGGGCGCGGGCGACCTCCCGGATGTGACGTCACGGAGAGGTGGAGTTAGGTGACGTGGGAGGAAAGGTTAAGGTTCTTAAGGGAGGAGACCGGAAGAGGAAAGCAGAACGAGTGGGACTGGACCAGAGTAAGGCCACGTGGGCAAAGCCAAGGGGTGGCAGCGGCGGCCAGCGGTGGCCAGCTAAGGGAGCAGCCAGCGGAGCTGCGAGAGAAGACAGCGGTGGGGCGGCTGGAGAGAAGGCGGACGAGGAGCTGCGGGGAACACAGCCGGCGAGGCTGTGTGTGAGAGAGAGGCTACGAGAGCGACGAGAGGAGAGAGAGGCTGAGAGAACGACGAGGGGAGAAACTGCAGGAGAGCAGTATCAGTGTCAGTATAGAGTCTTATAGAAGGACAGCCGTGCGGGTTAAGAGAGAAGAACCGAATAAAGGACACCAAGCCAGACATCGTGGTCGAGTCCTTTATTACATTGGTGTCGGAAGTGCAACGGCATGTCGAAACAAGTGAGAAAGAAAAATGTTCCAGCGCCGGCATCGGCTTCTTCGTCCGAAGACGAAGACTTCCCTCCAAACATGGATCCTGCCAGGGTGGTGGAGGAGAGCCCTGCTGAAACGAGTGCGGGGACGGGAGTGGAAGATGTAGCCACAGTGTCAGGGCCGCCGACACCATCAGACGCTGATCGGCGATGGCTGCAGGTGGCTGAGCAACTGGAGACTCTCAAGGACGCCCTGGGCCAATTGTGTCATCTCGTCACCCCAAGCACGGCGACGGAGAGAGCGGAGAGTGCTCCACAGGCCGCCACGGGTTCTTCACTCCCGGCGCCATGGGCCACGCGGCAGGAGGCCGCCATCTTGCGCGTGCCGCGGCGGGAATCCGCCATCTTGACCACGCCGCGATTCGACGCCATTTTGAATTTGCCTCCGGAGGAACCATCGGCGGAGGGCGGAGTGAAGCGAAGTCGGAGTCGCCATCTCACCACGGTCAAGGAATTCGCCATTGGGGGCGACTGGAGCGCTTTCGCCTGCAGATTTTTAGCGGCGGTCCGTTCTGCGAGATGGACCGATGCTGAGGCCTTGGAAGTGTTGCCGACTCTTCTGGACGACGAATCTGTTCGTTTTTTTCGCTCCATTAAGGCCGAGAAGAAGAGGACATTATATGGAGTTTTTCAAGAAATGGCCGACGCCTACGAGCCACCTGACGACGCGCATCGGCGATTCGCTCAACGACAACGAGCGCCCGAGGAGTCGCCTGTGGCGTACAGGGGTGCAGTGCTTGATTTGGCTATGGCCGCGTATCCAGATACAACACCTGACCTGCTCGAGCCTCTCATCTTGGGCAAGATGCTCGAGCTGTCGCGGGATCTTGGGATTCCCATGCCGGTGTGCGGGCATGAGAAGCTCACCTCCCGGGCGGCGGCGAAATGTCTGGATGCACAATTCAACCTACAACGATGGAAACAGGTCACGGCGTGGACAGGGGGGCCCGTCGCGGAGGGTGGCGCTCTGGGTTGGGACCCTACGAAGTCGGTATACGTGCCGGATGAGCGGGGCCCTCAGGAGCTGACGGCCGCCTCGGTGCCATGGTCAGGCCGCGGTGGACCGGCCTCTCGTGCTGCACCGCCGATACGCGGGCGGCGCGATGCAAGGCCTGCGCTTCGGCGCAACGACGCCGATTGCTTCCGCTGCGGACGGAAGGGCCACTACGCGAAGGACTGCTGGGCCCGCATCCCGGGTCCGCCACAACAGGAGGCCTCATTACCGGCCAAGCCGCCCAAGGATCCACCGAAACAGGCAAGTCGGCACGCACCAGACACCCGGCAAGGCTTTACACCTCACCCATCACCTTCGTTGTGCGGTCATAGTGTTGTTGTTAAAGAGGGACCTTCGACGGGGCCTTGTCGCTCTGTGACGCAGTGGCGCAAATTGGCACGGAGGGTTGTTGCGGCCGCTACGGGTTCGTCCACCGTGCCGGGGTCTATACAAGGGGTGGACGTGCGCATTTTGGTCGATTCCGGGGCGTCCGCGACTATTATTTCGGATGTCATTTTTCATCTGTTAGGCATCCCACCCGGGGCCGTGCGTCCGGTTTATGGGTCGTGCGTCGCTGCGAACGGGGGTAGTATGGGCATCGTGGGCCAGGTGGACGCTAAAATATCTATTGGGGATGTGTCGGCCTCGGGCGTTGTGTTGATTTCAAGATCCTTGGCAGTTCCCTGTTTATTGGGCACTGATTTTCTGGCTAAGATGCCTATTTTGATCAAAATTAATGAGAATTGTATTGAACTGCCGGGTGGCCGTCAAATTTCGTTTCTGCCGTCGCCCTGGGGGCGACCTGCTTCGGCCGTACAAGTGCAGGCGCTATCCGTGGCATCTGTTGATATTCCACCTGGTTCACAGATGCTTATTCCCCTGCGGTATCGGAAGCCCCTGCCTGGTCGGCTGGGAGCGGTTGGGATCTTGTTGTCACCTTCAGCCTCGATAACGGCCGGATCGGCGCTGGTCGGAGCGCAGACCATCGTCCGGCCAGACCAATTACCGTTTTTGCAGGTGCTCAATGCGGGTACGGAAAATGTCTGTGTCCCAGCCGGCACGGTTGTGGCACATGCCACCACGGCATTTACGGCTCACGATTGTTCGCATAGCCAGGGAGTGGTTGCTGGTGTTTCCGAGCCTGTGGCTTCGGATGACCGCTGGATTGCTAGCTTATGTGACGGAAATTCTTCCCTGTCTGTGGATCAACGGGGTGCGCTTCATAAATTGTTATTGACGTATTCCGATGTGTTTAGCTCCAATGATTTGGATTTGGGACGCACCTCATTGCTTCACCATCACATTGCTACAGGCGACGCTGCCCCTATTCGGTTGAATTCGCACCGAATGAGTCCGGCCGAGCGGGAACACGTTCGGGGGGCAGTGGAGGATATGTTGGCTGCGGATATTATATCGCCGTCGAACAGCCCATGGGGCGCGCCTGTGGTTTTGGTTAAGAAAAAGGATGGCAAATTGCGATTCTGTGTTGACTTTCGAAAATTGAATAAGATATCGGTGGCAGATGCGTATCCCCTGCCGCGTATGGACGACTCCCTCGACGCATTGTCGGGGGCTAAGTATTTCTCTACACTGGACCTCTCTTCGGGATTTTGGCAGCTTCCCCTTGACGAGCCCTCACGGGAGAAGACCGCATTCCGTACGCCGCAGGGGTTGTTTCAATTTAACTGCCTTCCGATGGGGCTGAATGCGGCCCCTGCCACATTTCAAAGGCTCATGGAACTCGTTTTGACGGGGTTGCAGTGGGAGACATGTCTCATATATTTGGACGATATCATCGTCTTCAGCCGCACATTTGATGAACATTTAAGGCGGCTGGAGACGGTGTTCGCGAGGATGCGCTCCGCGAACTTGAAATTTAAACCAAAGAAATGTCACCTACTGCAACGGTCCGTCCGTTATTTGGGGCACATCGTGAGTGCTGAGGGGGTGTCTACGGACCCGGAAAAAACGGCGTGCGTCCGAGATTGGCCGACTCCGGTCACCGTGGGGGATGTACGTCGCTTTCTGGGATTTGCCTCGTATTATCGAAGATTTGTACCGAATTTTGCGACCATCGCGAGGCCCTTGCACCTCCTTACGGGTAAGGGACGTAAGTTTGCGTGGGGACCGCCGGAAGAGGCGGCCTTTCAGAGTCTGCGTAATCTGTTGGCTACCGCCCCAACATTGGATTATCCGGATTTCAATCAACCGTTCATTCTTGATACGGATGCGAGCGACACAGGTATTGGCGCGGTGTTGTCTCAGTCTAAAGGGGGCGTAGAGCGCGTCGTTGCGTATGGTAGCCGGGTCCTGTCGCCCGCGGAAACACGCTACTGTGTCACTCGCAGGGAACTCTTAGCCGTTGTTTTTTTCCTACGTCAGTTTCGACCGTACCTGTACGGCCGTTCCTTTATCGTACGTACGGATCATGCGGCCTTGCAATATGCCCTTAAAATGGATCAACCTTCCGGCCAGCTGTCGCGTTGGTTGGACACGCTGCAAGAATTTTCATTTCAAATTCACCATCGTAAAGGGGTGCGCCATGCGAACGCAGACGCACTTTCTAGGTTGCCGCAGCGCTCCCCTTGCAAATGTGCGTCGGGGACGCAGAGATGTGCGCCCAGCCTACCCCCCCCTCAGCCGGTGGTATTGGCTGTGGAGAAGTCGGATGCTACTGTGGAACCGGGGCCGACTGATGGGGTTTTGAATCTGCCACGGTCTGTTTGGATAAGGGAGCAAATGATGGATGAGTCGTTAGTGTCCTTGCGGAAGCGATCCAAAGTGGAGGTTGGGGGTCCGGTTACGGAGGGTGCGCCGGAAACCGCGGTCCGAGATGGTCTGCTTATGTGGAGGGAAAGTCTCCAGGAACACTGGCGTCTAGTGGTGCCTGCGTCCCTCCGATACGAGTTGATTAGAACTCTCCATTGTGACACGCTATTACATCTGGGTGTGCAGAAGACCTTGTTGACGTTGCAACGTCATTATTTTTGGCACGGCATGTCGACGGATGTCGTGGGGCACGTCCGCGCGTGCCCTGACTGTGCCCGGCGTAAGCCTCCTAAACATCCTTATGTGCCACCCTTACAGTCAATTCGGGTGTCTCGGGTCAATGAATTGGTGGCACTGGACATTTTGGGACCTTTCCCACCTTCGGCGAGGGGTAATAAATATTTGCTGGTCGGGGTTGAGTACCTCTCCCGTTGGCCGATGGCCTGGCCGTTGCCCGATCAATCGGCCGCGGCCATTACCGACGCCTTTTTGTTCGGATATGTTATGGACAAGGGTGCGCCGGAGAGACTCCTTACGGATCAGGGCCGAAATTTTTCTTCGAAATTATTGGCGGAAGTATGCGCGGGCCTAGGGACTAAGAAGGTCCGGACATCCCCATACCATCCGCAAACGGATGGTATGGTTGAGCGGCTAAACCGGACATTGTCTGCCATGCTGTGCCACACGGTGAGTGAGCAACAATCGGATTGGGACCTGCACATCCCGGGGGTGCTTTCGGCGTACAGGATGACTCCTCATGCGGCTACGGGTTATTCGCCGTTTTACCTTATGTATGGTCGGGAAAACGTGCCGCCAATGGATGTGCAGATGGGAACCGGTGTGAGGGGACCTTGTAAACCGCTTCCTGACTACATTCGGGACACTGTTCGCCGGGTCTCGGAGGCGCGGGAGAGTGCCCGTGTGGCTACGGCCAAAGCTCAGGCCCGAAATGAGAGGTACGCACGGCGTTCCAAAGGGGAGTGCCCCTGGAAGGTTGGGGACCTGGCCTGGCTCCATTGCCCGCAGGTGCGGCCGGGTACCTCTCCCAAATTTCACAAACCTTGGCGAGGGCCTGTCCGCCTCATTGAGGTTCCTAATCCTCAGTCGGCGCGTGTTCAAATTGGTTCTCGCCGCTGGTTTGTTCACACGTCGCGCTTGAAACCGTATGTTGCTCCCCTACATGATGCATCATCTCCCAATGTTGCCTTGCCGGGGTCTGTTGCTGCCGACTCTCCCCCGCCTGCGTCCATTGATCTTGCTAGAGCGCCTGTCGTACCTGTTCCAGGCAGGCCGGCCTTGACACCGGAGGGGACGAGGCGCTCTGCTCGGAGGGTGCCTGCCAGATCTGCGGGTCCTTCGAGCCCTGCAGCCCTTCCGACCCCGCTGCAGACGCATCCGCGGGACAAGCCCAAGACTGATCCTTCAAGGACACGGGACGTTGGTGGACTTCCAACAGCGACAGGGGGATTTCACCCTGTCGCTCCTCAAACTCAATCACGTTCCCGTTCCGCGGATGGGCCGCCGACCGTCCGGGACGGGCCGGCGACCCGCACACGCTCTAAATCCCTTGTGTTTCGTTGATTGTTATGTTGTATTGTTCTTACTGTGTATTTATTGCCTGCTTCTGCTACGTTATTGATTGTTGAGTTGTGTTGATTGTTCTTACTGTTATATTGCATGCTTGGTGTCCTTTGGTGTGTTACGCTCGGGTTCGCCCGCATTACTGTTGGTGTTGTTCAGCCGAGGTCGGCTGGGTTTTTCTCCACGGGGGAGGGTGGTGTAATGCGGGCGCGGGCGACCTCCCGGATGTGACGTCACGGAGAGGTGGAGTTAGGTGACGTGGGAGGAAAGGTTAAGGTTCTTAAGGGAGGAGACCGGAAGAGGAAAGCAGAACGAGTGGGACTGGACCAGAGTAAGGCCACGTGGGCAAAGCCAAGGGGTGGCAGCGGCGGCCAGCGGTGGCCAGCTAAGGGAGCAGCCAGCGGAGCTGCGAGAGAAGACAGCGGTGGGGCGGCTGGAGAGAAGGCGGACGAGGAGCTGCGGGGAACACAGCCGGCGAGGCTGTGTGTGAGAGAGAGGCTACGAGAGCGACGAGAGGAGAGAGAGGCTGAGAGAACGACGAGGGGAGAAACTGCAGGAGAGCAGTATCAGTGTCAGTATAGAGTCTTATAGAAGGACAGCCGTGCGGGTTAAGAGAGAAGAACCGAATAAAGGACACCAAGCCAGACATCGTGGTCGAGTCCTTTATTACATTTGTAATGTCTCCCCATCACAGTAATTTAGTGGGGTTTCTATAAATGGATCACGTTCTATACATGGCACACTTAAAACACAGTGGTCACTTGTAAACACAACTATTGCGAATTGTATCGCAAAGCTTTATTGAAAATATAAATCTACTGATCTCGTAGCCCTTGATGGTAATTAAACCCAGTAATAATGAGACGATAAATCCAACACCTACCGAACTGAGCTTTTAATTTGCCAACTCGAACTGTGCAGTCCTCATAACGCTTTAAATTAAGTACTGTACTTTGTATGAAAATTGCGTCCAGTCCAAACCAGCCATCCGATATAAATCCATCGTTATGTGTTTATTAAACAGCATGTTGCGTTAAGCTAATAATCGTCTCTCTCTTTGTTTGTTTTAAGTTGTCGTCCTTTGCAGTGAACCCATTTGCGTGGAACAGAGACAACTCAATAAACAGTTCGGTGGCAAGCCTGCAAGTGAGTGATGTGAAGAGAAGCATCAACGCCACGTCGGCACTGGTCAAGGTCAAAAACCTGGCGATTGCCGAGCAGGTGACAACCTTTACGGCAACGTCTGCCGGCGACATTTCAGTGGATAAACGGTTCACGGTTAAAAGCAACGGATCCGCAGTGTTGTTGGACATTTTGCAAGCCGACAACGTGGTCGGTGGGCTGGAGCTCCTCATCAGATATCAGCAGGCTCCTCAGCTTGAGCCTCTGGTGTTTGACTACCGCTTCGTATGGGAATCAAACAACTCGGCAGGCAGTGACCAACAATCACCAATCAGCAACGACACTGAGCGCAAAAACAACACTGCCAACGGACAACGACGTCAACATTCATTTTTCATCCCCGGTAATGAAACACAGCCCGGGGTTTATTACATCACGTTAAAGTCTAAAGGTAAGACTTGTCACCTGTAACTCCAAACACGAAATGGATATTGCGATTCATTAAAGTGTATTGCTTAACGCAGTGAATATTTACTGCTTGCCTGATGTTTTCTTGCGTGGCCTTTTTAGATAGCAAAAAAAGCCTCAGTGGTGTGTCTGTAAAAATACTGTTGTGGACGGCTGCCTGCAAAGTGTGGGATTGTGTCCATGGTGAATGGAGTTACAGTTTGGCACAAGTACGTCCAATGCAACGCATCTCTTTCATATTTAATAGTCTATGTCAGCGGTCGGGAACCTATGGCTCGCGAGCCATATATGGCTCTTCCGGTGACGACATATGGCTCCCAGACAATTTTGAGTTGAAAAAAATAATAATAAAAAAATAAAATCAGTTTGGAACTGATTTTAAAATACGTGTGATATTGCTTAATAATACTGTGTCATTTTAAAGTAAACAGAAATTAGTTTTGAAGATAAAATTTCTCGGGTCACGGGTCCCGTGACCAGAAGTCGCATTAAAAGTAAGACATATTTAATTTATTATACGTTAAAAATACTATATGGCTGTCAATGAAATATATTGAGAAATATTTGGCTTTTATGGCTCTCCCAGTCAAAAAGGTTCCCGACCCCTGGTCTATGTGTTAAATTATTATGAGGCAAGTAATGATTCATTGATTCATCAATTCAAATACATTTTTATGCTCATGCGACTGCCATTCAATCAGGCGTGAACTTTTTGTTTTGGTGCTGAATGCAATACCGTAGTTCCAAACGATCCGTGCCGCCACTAGATGCACTGCATTCACCACAAGGTTACGAGATAATCATTGAATGAAATCACGAGCACGAATTGTGACGAGTCATCACATTTCAAGTGTAACAAATCACGAGATTCCGTCGTACTTTCCAGTACTTAAACAGAGACAATCAACACGTAAGCCTTTTATGTCGTCCACTCGTTTAACTCATTGAATTCATGATGCATTAACTTCTAATCAATAATTTCTACTGTAAATAAAATTGCAATAGCTTCACCTTGATATTCCTTGCACAGGTGCACCCTAACTCCACAATGAACAGCACCGTTTGTGTGGTTGGTGGAGGTAACAAGGCCACCACAACGAACGCCGGTCGCGAGCGAGTCTTCATAGCGGCAGAGGTGTTGGCCCCAAACACCATCGACTTCTCGACGGTGTTCACGAAGTTTGACCTTGTGTCAAACGGCGCCGTGTTTGCCGCTGTCATTGTGATCATCCTGCTCTATCTCATCATGCTGCTGTGGGCAAGGAAGGCAGACATCAAGGATAACGAAAAGGTAACTAATACCATTTGTTATTGTGTTCTGTGGTCAATATTGACTTTGGAATGGCAAATTCGATTAGATTTATGGTATGGAGCGGTGCCGCGGTGGTTCACGCACTGTGCTATAAATCTAGTGACCTGAGCTCGATTCCTTGCCATGGCTAATATCAATGGCAAGTGATATCTGAACCAGTCCTGGGCGCCCTATTCATCATCAACCCGCACAGACTGGCAAAATCAAGAATAGTCAAACAAACACCATGACTGATATGGCATGGACAGTAAATAATGACTGCATTCCTATTAACGGTTACTTTAAACCAAAATGACACTGAAGATTTAAAACAAGACAACTCTAATAGACACGACGTAATGCAAACTTTAAACTTTCAGAATAGGATGTTTCAGCTATTCAACGCGGACGATGAGAACAGGCGCTCACTCGTGCTGCGAGTAGTAACGGCATCAACCAAGGATGCAGGGACGCGTTCGTGTGTCTGCTTTACCCTCTACTTCGATGAAATTGATTCGGGGACACACGAGCTCACCCACCCGGAGTTAAAGGTACGAGTCGATCTGCTGTTTTCAAGTTGATATTCAGCACGACTTTCCAGTACATACAGCCTCAAATTACAAATGTATGTTGAGGCGCTGTGACAGCTTGTGATGTAACGCCGAAGGTGTGCACCTTTCCAGCAAGAAGCATTGCAGCAGGCAGATGTGTAGCCTGACCAGGGTTCGATTTCCGCTCATGGCCAACATCAGCGGCGATTATTTGAACTGGCCCTGGGCCTCCCCTTGATCGACTAAGCCTCAATTGAGTACTTACTGCGATGTGTAAAAACATTGCCACTAGGGAGACAAAGGCTGCCGGGCGTGCTCGCTAACAGCACTTGTCTAGTTTGCTTTTACGCACTGTGGAGGCAATCCTGGTGATGGAGGCTCATTATTTCGACCGTTCATACAGGACAGTTTAGAACACATAGCACCAACGTGGCCCAGCCCAAGCAGATCAACTGAAGCGGACAGGGAAAGAGCTGGCTGGGCAGCCAACATAGATTTCCTGTACTCATGTAATCATGTTCAGCTTTGTGATCACTGTTGACAATCAGCATTAAGTAAAACAACTAAAATATTTGAATGCATATCAGATTAAGTGTTGTATGAAGACTAATACATTTTGTTAGGAAAATAATACCAATTAATATGCCTGGTCTAATAAAGAAAAATGTGTTGTGAAGTATGAACTGAACATAAGTTTACTAACCATGAATTTGTTTAGGAATTTGAAACGGGCAGCACAAACAACTTTCTTTTCTCTGTTCCTAAATACTATGGGAAGCCATCACACATTAAACTCTGGCTGAATGATGGTGATCCCTGTGATTTCTGGACCATCAATGAAATATCAGTTCTGGATCTTGAGAAAAACCAAGTGTGAGTAAATATTGTCGGTCAATTGGGATTTACATGTGAAATATTTTCCATCTATAATCACAATACACCAATGTGTGTTTCTGGATAATTCTGTCTTAAGTATAATTTCCCCACCTTAAATGTGTAATGGCAAAATATCCAAATCATCGTCAGGAGGTTGTTAGTTTAATTACAATTTTAGGGTTGGTCTCAGCTCATCATTCCTATTGGACCAATACATGAGTAACTCTGTGTGGAAGACAGTGGTGGTAATCCTATAGTGAGACGGGACCCCACAATCAGATGTTAAAGCATCGATCACTGAGGGTCACCAACGTAAATGGTCATCACAATGTTTGCTTGAGCAAGGAAATTATGACTAATTTGAATCTGCAATAGGCCTGCAGTTGATATAAGAATTGTATCTATGAAGCATGTATGATCTATTTTATTGCAGCCACTAGGGTGCAATAAATCGTTAAAATACAAGTGTCACTTATTTCTCCCCTGCAGATATTTGTTTTGTGTGAATTCAATGCTCTCCTATGAAATGAATATCGGGCAGTACGGTAGAAGGTTTTACGTTAAAGAAGAACGATTTTCATTCGGCAATAAGTGGATGGTTCATCACGCACTCAAGGGAAACTTTTCTGAAGGCCATCTTTGGTAAGTAAGAAGCACAAGACAAGATTTTAGAAACGTTTTAGAGCTGAGCTACAATTACCTGGTCATGTAGGGTTAGCCAATCATTGAAGTGTCAGCATTGCCAGAGTTGTTATTCAGATCAGATCTCAGATAAGTCGGGTAGAGTCTGGATACGTGTCTGGATATGTGATCACCATGTATAACAGGTTGCTATAGGCTGCTGCGGGGCTACATGGTGTACAGTAGTGAGCAGTAGTGCGGCAAAACCTGATGTTGTGCTGTACTTCCTTGATACTATATCTATGCTTGCTGCCTTCACCATTTTGCATTGACCAGTGCGGTGAAGTATGGTGGAATAACCCCCACGCCCGCATGGCATGGGAAGGCCCTCATCCAACAGTGGTTCGACAAATGGATGTTTATATACATGTATGTTTTACCTTGTATTATTTACATATTAACTTTAGCCTATGCTCAGCAGCAGTTCACTTGAAATTTAGATCCCTTTTTTCAAACAATTAAAATAATGACGCTCGAAATTAACTATTGTATGATGGTTTACTAAGAAAAATATTTGTACTATATTTTGCAATTTAACAGACTACACCAATTTAATCAGTGGAAATGTTATTCAATTTTAAACACATGTCCATTGCAGGTTTTCCGTTTTCATCCGCCCATTCAAGACCAACTTTTCCCGCGTGCAGCGCATCTCCTGCTGCGTCACGCTCCTCTTCCTCATGATGATCGCCAACGCCATGTGGTTCGGAAAGAAGCAGGCAGCCAACGGAGCGGGCGGCGGGGTCACGGTGGGGCCGCTGTCTCTCACCGACGTCCTCATCAGCCTCCTCAGCAGCCTGGTGGAGGTGCCTGTCAGCCTTGTGGTCGTGCTCATATTCCGCAACAGCCGCTCAGAGAGTGAGCGGTCTCCAGGCCAGAAGAACTCCTGGAGGGGCCCTTGGCCCGGTGGCTGCAGATGCGTAGCCTGGTGTCTCGTGGTCCTTGCTGTCCTGAGCTCTGGCTTCTTCACGATCCTCTACAGCATGGAGTGGGGCCCAGAGAAGGCCAACCGCTGGCTCGTTCGATTCCTCTCATCCTTCTTTATATCCGTAATATTGGTTCAACCAGTGAAGGTAAAATTACTTCATAATTTTCTGTGGTTCACCCTAATGGATCATTATTATGTCGACTCGTGCAGTATAAATATTGGGTGTGACTTGTACACGCTGCCTGTCAGCAGCGTGAGAGGGATAGAGAGAGAGACGCGCCGCCACGTGGCAACCCGGAGCCCCGCTCACGCGTGGCCCCTTCCTCCGTTCGTTCCCGTTCTGACCACGTGTCGTTCGTCTCCACCCCTATTTAATACCCGGGTCACGTGGTACGTTTCCACCAATCCCGGTTAGCCTCCATGGAATATTTTAGGCTCCCTCGTAGGCTCCCGGGACCACGGCCCTGACTCATCTCCCTATTGGCTGTGGCCAAAGCCAGCAGAACCAATCCTCTACTTACAGCTGTCACCTTTCCATTACGTCAGGACCACTCCCCTAGGCTTCCCCCCATTGGCTATAGACTAAGACCGGCAGAGCCAATCATTATGACGAGTTGTGATATGTCAGGGAGCCGGATATATCCTCACATTACATCACCCCCCCCCCCCCCCCCCGGTGTAAAAAGTCAGCCATCTCGGCTGGGAAAAGGGTGACAGGCCGAATATCATTAGAATAAATTTTAGGGCGTCTAAGACGCATTAACAAGGTAAGGGGGGAGTAGGCGTCAACGCGCCGAGGGATTCAAAACATTTAACAACAGACATACATTAGGGCGCCCCTGTAGCGCAGTAACAACAGGGTGACAGACCGCAAGGCAATTAATATTAGCGAAACGGGAGAGATTTCGACCGCATGCGCGACGCCGGACCCTCTCCTTTCTTCATGCACGGTTGCCTCGCCGACTGTTCAGCAGGAGGTGGTTGCCGTGGAGAAGAAGTAGAATGTTCGGTTTCCGTTGTATCTGGGGCAGGCCCCGTTGGAGGCGGGGCATCCGAGGTCTCGTCGTCCTTCAAAACCTGTTCATCTGCGGGGGGTATAGCACAGCCCCGCTGGGGATCAACGGGCGAGGCAAGTGGCACATTCGGCACGCCAGACCCTGGCAAGTCAACAAGTGGAGATGAAGGGCCAACACGCGGGTCAACGTAGGGCTTGAGCCGCGGCGAATGGACATACCAATGACGTTGGCCGTACTGGATGCGAACACTCTGGGGATTCCGAATGTCCACCAGCCTCACAGGTCCCCGCCAAGGCTTGTGCAATTTAGGGGACGTACCCACTGGCACCTGAGGGCAATGGAGCCATTCCATATCGCCCACCGACCAAGGCATGTCAGTTCGCGATCGACGCGCATACCTCTCGTTCCTTGCCTGCGTACGGGTCGTCGCACATCTGGCGGCCTCTCGCACCTCCGTAACCCGTTTAAGCGAGTCCCGCACGTGATCAGACAAGGAAGGGGACGGTTGTTTCCCCCCTGCATCCAGTTGCACATCAATCGGGGGTACATTCTCACGGCCATATATCAGGAAAAATGGCAAATATCCTGTGAACACGTGCGGAACCATGCGGTATGCCGCCAGGACGCCCGGTATGTGCAAGTCCCAATCGGTTTGTTTTTCACTCACCGTGTGACAAAGCATGGCCGAAAGGGTGCGGTTAAATCGTTCCACCATGCCATCCGTTTACGGATGGTAAGGGGAAGTGCGGATTTTCTTTGTACCCAACGCAGAGCATACGTCTTTGAGCAATTTGGAGGAGAAGTTACGTCCTTGATCCGTGAGCAGCCCTTCGGGTGCTCCTTTATCCATGACGTATCCATTCAAGAAAGTGTCGGTGATGGACAAGGCTGTTTGGTCAGGCAAAGGCCAGGCCATAGGCCAGCGAGAAAAATATTCGACCCCGACCAAGAGGTATTTATTTCCCCTAGCCGATGGACGGGCCCAGGATGTCCAGAGCAACTAGCTCATTAATACGGGACACCTCGATTGAACGTAGTGGAGGGATATAATTTTGACAAGGCGGTTTCCGCCTTGCACAATCATGGCATGACCGGATAAAGTTTTGGACGTCTGCAGTCATGCCGGGCCAAAAGAAATCCTGTTGCAATGCGGCCAATGTTTTCTGCACGCCGAGGTGCATCAGCTTGTCGGCGTGCAGAGCGCGGACTAGATTGTGACGCAGGGATGTCGGCACAACCAGGCGTGAACGGTCAAATAATCCATCCGTACACATCAGCAATCCCGCCTGGCCCTGAAATATCTGCCATTTCCATCCAGCCAAATGAGATCTCGGTTTCCCAATCAGTTCCCGCAGTGGAGCCAGAGAGGCATCAGCCTCCTGCTGACGTAGCCACACCGAGTGCGGAAAATGCAGCGTATCGTCGGCGCCAACGGGCACATCCTGAGCTTCATCGTTCGACAACGCCCCCATAACCGGACAGGGCGAGGTAGGCAGCGACGCACAGTGGTGCATACCCATCAGACAGGCGCAGGGAGGAGTCAGGGGCAACCTGGAGAGAGCGTCCATGTTGGCATGGCGAGTACCCTTGCGGTACGTGATATTGAAGGAAAATTCCTGTAACGATTCCAACCACTGAGCCAATTGACCGGACGGTTGTTCCAATTTCAAAGAATATTGCAAGGCAGCGTGGTCAGTGCGCATGAGGAATTTCCATCCATACAGGCACGGCCGCTACTGGCGAACAAAATGTACGATAGCTAGCGGTTCTCGTCACATCACGCAATATCCGGTCTCGGCAGGGGACAGAACCCTACTGCCGTATGCCACCACTCGCTCGACCCCGTCTTTCCGCTGCGACAAAACGGCGCCTATGCCGATATCGCTAGCATCCGTGTCAAGGATGAATGGCTGGGAAAAGTCCGGGTAGTCGAGCGTCGGCGCGGTGGCCAAATGATCCCGAAGAGATTGAAAAGAGCGCTCCTCTTCCGGGCCCCATTTACATCTCTGATTTTTCCCCATCAGAACATGCAGCGGCTTAGCCAGCGTCGCGAAGTTCTTAACAAAACGGCAATAGTAGGATGCGAACCCAATAAACCGCCGTACGTCGCCCACCGAAGTGGGCGTGGGCCACTCTCGGATACACGCCGTTTTCTGAGGGTCCGTGGACACACCGCCAGAGCTGACGATGTGTCCCAAGTAGCGGACGGACCGCTGCAAAAGGTGGCACTTCTTTGGTTTAAATTTTAGGTAAGCCGAGCGCATCCTCTGAAAGACAGTCTCCAGTCGTTGGAGGTGTTCTTCGAACGTGCGGCTGAATACGATGATATTGTCCAAATATATGAGGCACGTTTCCCACTGCAGCCCCGCTAGCACCAGTTCCATCAGGCGTTGGAACGTCGCCGGTGCCGCATTCAAGCCCATAGGTAAGCGGTTAAACTCAAAGAAGCCTTGTGGCGTGCGGAACGCCGTTTTTCGTTTGGACACGTCATCGAGGGGAAGCTGCCAAAACCCAGACGACAGGTCGAGGGTGGAGAAAAAATTTGCACCTGACAAAGCGTCCAACGAGTCGTCCATCCGTGGCAAGGGGTATGCGTCCGCCACGGATATCTTATTTAATCGGCGGAAATCCACACAAAACCTCGTCCCACCATCCTTTTTCTTAACCAGCACCACCGGCGCGTCCCGAGCACTGTTGGACGGCGAAATTATATCGGCCGCTAACATGTCGTCCACCGCGCCACGTACGTGTTCCCTTTCAGCAGGGCTCATGCGATGCGGGTGCATACAAATCGGTCCCGCCACACCGGTGTCGATATGGTGCGACACGAGCGAGGTATGGCCCAGATCCAAATAGTTTTTACTGAAAACGTCAGCGTACTCCGATAATAATGAATGCAAGGCGTTCCGCTGCGTCGGCGACAAAGATGTATTTTCCCCGCACAAATCTGCGATCCATCGATCGTCTGAACGATCGTATCGTGGCCCGCCAGCGGCCATTTTTGTGGGTGGTTCACCCTCAAAGCTGGTGAAATCGGTAGTGGCGTAAGCCAATACCGAGCCAGCTGGGACGACGACCCGGTCCGGGCCCCCATTTAACACTTGTATAAACGGGGCCTGACCAGGCTGAACGATAGTTTGAGCCGCTACTAGGGAAAAGGATTTTGCCACAGAATTCGACGGGGACAACAGCACACCTGTCGCACCGTCCGCAGTTTCCAAACGCTTTTGGTAACACAGCGGAACAAGCATTTGCGAGCCTGATGGTACCTCCACCGTGGCAGCAACAATCGCTTTAACAGCGTTATCTGGGGGCGAACGGCCCAGCAGGGACGGCAGGAACGACATCCTACGGCCCCCTGGCATTTCCAAGCATGCGGCGCAAGAAATCGGTGCCCAATCGGCATGGGACGGCCAGTGAACGTGAGATCAAAACTGGTTTCTCCGCGGTGATATTCCCTATAGCATACCCATGCTACCCCCATTAGCAGCAACGCACGCGTCATTAGCCGGTCGGATCCGTGGCGTAGGAATGGACAGGAGATGAAAAATAACATCGGAAATGATGGTAGCAGACGCACCAGTGTCCACCAAAATACGAACACCGATCCCATCGATGGTACCCCGTACCGTCGAGGACCCCGACGCAGTTGCTACCACCCTACGGGCCAATTTTTTACATTGTGTCGCAGAGTGCGGCATCGACACAGGTGTACCACAATTACCGTCCGGAGTGCAAACATGTGTGCGAGTGGATGGGTGATGTGACAAGACCTGCCGGGTGTCCGATGTGTGCCGACTTGCCCGAGGGTGCCGTGGATCCGCGTCCGGTGGAGGAGATGGAAGCCGGCCCGATGGGAGCTGAGAAGGTTGAAGTCGGCAGCGGCAATCCCGGGTGAAATGGCCTCGTCGGCCACACTTAAAACACGTGGCCGCCGTCGCCCGGCGGTCGCTCGTCCCGGTCCCTGCACATGGTCGTCCGGCCCCATCACGCTGCTCGCGCGGCCGACGTTTCGGGACCCAGCGAGGAACAGCAGCCATCACCTCGTCGTCGCTGGAGTCATTGGAGCCGTGGACGACCCGACATGGAGACCACCCCAACGGTGGACCATCTATTTCAGGATTCCCCG